ATTGACAAGCTGCCCCGTCTTCCTCTTGTCGTCGCACGCTGTGCGCCCCAGACCAAGGTGCGCATGATTGAGGCCCTCCACCGACGCAGGCGCTTCGTGGCCATGACTGGTGACGGTGTCAATGACTCCCCTAGTCTGAAGCGCGCGGATGTCGGTATCGCGATGGGCGAGAGTGGCTCTGATGTTGCTAAGGAGGCATCTGATATTATTCTCACGGACGATAACTTTGCCTCGATTCTTAACGCTGTCGAGGAAGGTCGTCGTATGTTCGACAACATCCAGAAATTCGTTTTGCACGTGTTGGCCTGTAACGTCGCCCAGGCTTGCACTCTGCTCATTGGTCTAGCATTCAAGGATGAGAGTGGTTTGTCCGTTTTCCCACTGGCTCCTGTGGAGGTTATGTGGATTATCATGATCACTTCCGGTCTTCCTGACATGGCGCTCGGTTTTGAAGTCGCTGCACCTGATATCATGGATCGACCGCCGCAAGACGTAAGTGGTGCTCACAACCCGTTATCTGTCGAATCAATGCTGACAACTCAAACAGATGAAGATTGGCGTCTTCACCTGGGAGCTTATGCTCGACATGCTCGTCTATGGTCTCTGGACCGCCGCCCTCTGCCTTGCGTCCTTTGTTCTCGTCATGTTCGGCTGGGGCAATGGTGACTTTGGCGTCAACTGCAACAACGAATATTCCGAACGCTGCGACACTGTATTCCGCGCCCGCGCTACCTGTTTCGCCGCACTCACCTGGTTCGCACTCTTCCTCGCCTGGGAGATGGTCAACATGCGACGATCCTTCTTCCGCATGCAGCCTAAGAGCAAGAAGTATTTTACGCAATGGTTCTGGGACACCTGGCGCAACAAGCTCCTGTTCTTCGCCATTATCATCGGCTTCGTGACCATCTTCCCGCTCACCTACATTCCCGTCCTCAACACCAAGGTGTTCAAGCATGCTCCCATCACCTGGGAGTGGGGCATCGTTTTCGTGTGCGCCGTTTTGTTCTTTGCCGGTATCGAGGCCTGGAAGTGGGCCAAGCGCATCTACTTCCGTCGCCAGTCGCACAAGCAGCATGGCGCCAACCCGGATCTCGAGAGTCGTGTCTTCGGTCACTACTACACTATTGGTGGCGTCGAGCTCGAGTCTTCGCCGACTCTGGGCAGCAGGACCATGACCAACGAGAAGGAGATGCGGGAGAAGGGTGGCAATGGGTACTCGAGCGCGGGTAGCCGGTGATGTTACCGTCTATTTGAACAAAAGTGATTCTAGCTGTAGGCGAATCCTGGAAGAGGAATAGGGGGTGGAGAGGAGACGAAAAGAGGCGCTTGTCAGATGACGATACCTCATGAGCACGATTCACGCCGGTTTGCTAGTATAGAGACGGGTTACATCAACCGAGAATGAAAAGTTCCTGCTTTGTCGAGAGCTTCAGTAGGACCGGCCGCAAGCATCGAATCAATAAATCCAGGTATGATCTAATACGCTTGGCGCGTCTTTTGCCTTAAAACGAATGATGACATGTGATCGTTCGCCTTGGAGCTGGCTTCTGGGAACATCCAGGTCACGGAAGCCCTCAAGTCGGTCCCACCCTTGCTGCACCTACGCTCAACTCCACAACGTCCCCCGCGATAATTATCACATTGTGCGCAGAAATTTCAACAACATCCGATATGGTGTAGTGGCCAACATGATGCCCTCTCATCTCTGTGAGAGGTTAGGCATAGCCCCGAGTTCGATTCTCGGTTTCGGAACGTTTCATTTTGCATTTTTGCACCATTCTTCAAGAACACTGAGAAGCAAGCACGCTTCCTCACTTTGGCCCGGCTCATGGCGACTCCAATCATTATGGGAAGAGCGAAATGTGTCCATAATCTAACATGCTATTTAAACAAAACATTTGTCGCCTCTACCAGTCAATCTAATAACCGTACGCCGTGTACACCACCCACCTAGCCCGACTCACTCAGAGCTTCGCGCGACCCCTCCAAGGTTGACCCATCTCATCCTTGTACGTCGCAAGCTCGTTACGCTTGCTGTCTCCGCCGTGGCTGACCTGCACCGGCTCGTCAAACACGGACTTGTTCTCCCTCTCCTTCCTCTGCGCGGCGTCGACGTACTCCCGCTCTCCCTCGCCAATGTACAGCTGCCTCGGGCGCCAGATCTTGACGCCGCCCTTCTGCAGCATCTGCTGCCTCCAGTGCGCCAGCCAGCCCACGCAGCGCGGCACGGCGAACAGCACCGGGTAGAAGTCGAGCGGGAAGCCCATGGCCTGGTAGATGAGGCCGGAGTAGAAGTCGACGTTGGGGTACAGGTTGCGCTTCTTCATGAACTCGCTCTCGCGCGCGTACTTTGCGAGCTCGAGCGCCGTGTCGAGCAGCTGGTTGCGGCCCGTGACGGCGAAGACCTCCTCGGCCAGCTGCCGGATGGCCGTCGAGCGCGGGTCGACGTTCTTGTACACGCGGTGGCCGAAGCCGACGAGCACGCGCTCGCGCTTCTCGACCTTGGCCATGAAGGCGGGCACGTTCTCGGGGCTGCCGATCTCCATCAGCATGCGGATGGCGCTCTCGCTGGCGCCGCCGTGGCTGGGGCCGTAGAGCGCGGCGCAGCCCGCGGAGACGACGCTGTACGGGTCGACGAGACTGGAGCCGACCTGGAGGACGGTCGCCGTGGAGCAGTTCACCTCGTGGTCGGCGTGGATGATGAAGAGCGCGTCCAGGGCCTTCTCGAGCACCGGGTGGGGCTGGTACTCGTGTCCGCTGAGGTGGTCGAGGAGGTAGAGGAAGTTGCCGGTGTAGCTAAGGCCCTGGGCGGGACGGTTGAACGGTCTGCCCTGGCGCATGCGGTAGGAAGCGGCCGCGAGCGTGGGAGCCTTGCCGATGATGCGGAGGATCTGCTTGTCGAGCATCTTGAGGGCTTCCGGGTCGCCTGACGCGGCGTTGGTGTAGAGCTTCTGACCCTGCAAGCTGGGGTTCGACTCCGGCGCGAAGGCACCGAGGGCGGAGAAGGAGGACTGCAGCATGGCCATGGGATGCGTGTCGTAACGGAACGACTTGAACATGCCCTCGATGTCGCTGTGGATGTAGGTGTGGTGCATGATCTCATCCTGCCACTTGCTGTACTGCGTCGACGTCGGCAGCTCGCCGTAAATGAGGAGGAACGCGCTCTCGAGGAAGTGCGACTTGTTCACCAGCTGCTGGATGGGGTACCCGCGGTACCGGAGGATTCCATCCTGGCCGTTGATGTATGTGATGTTGCTCTGCACGACGGCGGTGTTCATGTATGCCGGGTCGTACACGCGGAGACCCTGGTCCGTCTCATCCTCGGCGCGGTCGTTGCCTCTCGCGGCCTTGATCTTCTTGATGTCCGTAGCCTGGACGGAGTTGTGAGTGATGGGCAGCTCGTAAGACTTTCCGGTGCGGTTGTCGACGACAGTGAGAGACTGGCGCGGAGCGGGTATCGCGCCACGTGGCGCATTCTTCACAGTAGTGACCATTTTCCTTTTGAGTTATTCTGCCCAAATTCGAATTGAGTTAAGATAGAACAGATCAGGCAAAAAATGAGATGGCAGTTTCACACGATGGTCTTTGATGAGAGAGACTTCTTGTATCCGTACATGGGGAGACAATGCGCGTCACCCGGACAGCTGAAAGGAGGTCCGGCTGGCGTCGGGGGTCGGCAGTGCTGGCCCGAGTGCCGAGGTTGTTTTCCATGCTCCTAATACGGTAAGATCTGATGCCTGTAGCGTGGGAAGCTCAAGCACATGCCAGGGGTCCCAAAGTCTCGTTGGGTGTTTCGTCGATTGAGCTGCAAGAGACACATGCCATTGTGTGTTAACTTGATCACAGGTCCGACCCGTTGGTTCTGGATTGCTGGAAAACGGACGAGCGGATGAGCTTAATGGAGGGCGCTAGCAGAGTTGCATTTCCATTGCAGATACAGGGGAGGATCCTTGCATGATCAGCTAAAATGACGGGAGACGAACGGCCAACAGCGCTGGCGTCCTTCTAGAGAGCTTCATCAATCTGGGGTATGTATGGGCTGGGCACTAGGTCCTGGCCCCAGGATTGCACCAAGGACTCGCCTTTGATCAAGTGGGCTTGGCCTCTTTCATATGTAGGACCTCGGCAGTGACTGTTTGGGGGCGCAATGTATCGCGATTGACAATTATGACAAGTGACAGAGTTGGTTGGCTCTTGTGGTGCATAGTCATGCTCGTCGTGAACTGAGAATTTGTTTCTTTCCTGTCCTGTCAAGACGAGAAGCCCAATTTCGAGATCAACTCAAAACCGAACTTGAAAGTGGTATTCGTCTGTCCAGAACCGCAGGTTCAGTCATATTTAGCTCCTTTTATCTCTTCCCGCCATCTTTCCCATCGGGATAAACCCATGAACCCATCTTCAAGTCCCAGAACATCATGGCTCAGGCCCGACAAAACCCACCTCCGGTCCCCGCGGCCGCGACACGGCCGGAAATTCATCTCTTGGCGGAGACCCTCACCAGCCTGAATCCCGTCGGAGTCGGCATCGTCTCCGTCGCTTGAATTTGGTCCGACCGGAGTGGATTCACTCAAAGGATGATCTTTTGTAACGTTCGTGAATAGTTCATTGGCTGTCGACCCTTGAATGCATCCTGCAAGCGCATAAGCAGCTCCTCTCCGCGCATGACGTAAATCCGTTTGAGAACCTCCACAGCGGCGGCCCTGAACTATGTTTTGCGGAACCGAGGACACTACCGAACGCCATCCCCGCAGGACTCCAAACTCGGGACCTGACCCCTCATCTCAACATATATTCTGCTGAGGCTGAAGTCAGCAGAAGAATTATTTCGCAAGAGGACTATTAGGAACTCATCTTAACACTATCGAACTTACACCCGCCTGGTTCAGAAACTCAGACGAAGACATTGAGAGCTTCTTGTCTCACTAATACCTAGGCGTTCTCACGAATAGAACACAACTGAGACACTCACGCAGCACCCGCCAAACCGTCAGCAACTCAAAATGGCGGCGTTGGTGCCAGTTCTTGTGGCTGGTCTGGCCGTCTTTGGTGGCTACACCTACGGCCCAGCCATCAAGCAAACGGCGACGGTTCTCGGAGTATCGCGGACCGTCAATAACACACCTGTCGAGCACGGCGGCGACCTTGTCTACATCGGCGACACGATCCATTGCGAGGACATTCACCACCATGAGCCGAGTGGGCTCCTTTTCACCGCGTGCGAAGATGACACAGAGACGCGCAAGGCATGGTTTCCGCCGCTTGGAACTTTTGAAGACCCGGTCAAGGCAAGCAAGTCTACAGGCTCTATTCATATCATTGACCCCAAGGTAAGTTCAATGTGGCTGGAGTGTAATGCGCAAGTCAACTGACAGCCCGCCAGGACATGACCACTAAGCGCCTCAAGTTCGAGAAATTTGACAGCACTTTCATTACTCACGGCATCGATGTCATTTCCGACCCGGAAAAGACTGACGCCGTCTATGTGTTTGCCGTCAACCATGTTCCCCACGCCGAGTACCTCGCAACCAAGGCTGGTGGCCAAGGCGACCAGAAGGTGTTGGACAAGGCCCAATCTCGGATTGAAATCTTCCATCACATCCTGGGCTCATCCACCATCAGGCATGTGCGGTCAGTCCAGCACCCGCTTGTCAAGACGCCCAACGACATTTTCATCAAGGACCCGCACTCCTTTTACGTTACCAATGACCACTTCTACCGCGAGGGAACGATGCGCCTCATTGAGGACCTGTGGCCTGGAGCATCTTGGACAGACACTATCCACGTCACCATCGACAAGCTTTCTGCGCTGAAGCCCACAGACGGCGTCACGGCGCAGGTTGCCTACGAGGGAATGAGAAATAACAACGGCCTGGGTCACTACAAGCCTGGGTACATCCTGATTGACGATTGTTCCGGCGCCGCGATGCACATTGGCAAGCTGTCTTCGGATCCGAAGAACGTCACCATCGATATCGAAGATTCCGTCCATTTTGACTCCTACATCGATAACCCCAGCTATTTCAACGACCCGTACAAGTCCGAGACCCAGGATGCCAGCGGCTTCATCCTGCCAGGTCTCATCCGGCCCATTGATATTGTGAAGCAGATTGGCGATCCTACCTCTAACATCGGATCCATTGTCTGGTATGCGAAGCCGATCGCGAATTGCGACAGTGCCAAGGCCGAATGCTGGGAGAAGCGCGCTCTGTTTGAGGATGATGGAACCAGAATTCGTTCAGCTGCCGGCGCAGTCTTGGTGGGCATTGACCCGGCCAAGGAGAACAACAAGAAGAAGGCGTGGCTTTTTGTTACTGGCTTCTACTCGAGCGCCGTCGTGGCGGTCAAGGTCGATCTTTAAAGGCTGTCATTTGATGGCCAGACTGTAAAACAGTTCTTCAAATGAAGCTGGCGAAGTTTTGGTGGTGTGTTTTGAAGTCGTGGAAGGGGAATTCGGCATGTGTCCATTGTACTTGGTCTGGCAAGGCTCAAAAGTGGAAATAATGAAACAATGGGTGTAAAGAGAGTTGAAAGAGCAGCTTATGAGAGCCATGATGAAGTGAGAGATAATTACAAATCACCAACCTGAAGGCTGAGAACCTCGATTGAAACTTGATGATCACATGTGAGCGCTTTTCAATCTTGTTGGAGACGTTCTCTTTCAATCCACGATAGGATCGTAGCAACCAGACTATGTACCAAATGTTGCCAAAATATCTCAGGTATCTCATCCTTCAAGTATTAATACAGAATACGACAAAATACAATCTTGCCTCCCACTTCCAAACATGGGGGGAGTACGCATGAGTGAGCAAAAGGTATATATACACAAGCTTAGATTCCAACCTTGACGGTAAAGTGGCGCTCTATTGGTTCTCCAAAACATCAAAGATACCCTCCATGACAGGTGGCGTCGTGTCGGCCCTGATGGGCTTATCAAATGAGAAGGAGTCCATCGACAGGATGGGAGTCGTGGCGACGGAATTGCCCAGCGAGATTGATCTCGTCCCTACCGACGACGACGCCCGCGGCCGGGGTTCAAGCATGCCCAGGCCAATCTCTTCGGCGCCGGAGGCATTGCGCTCAGCGTCAAGCATCATGTCCAGTCTGGAAGAATGCCGCCGAAGAGGTCGAGACCCGGGCCAACTAGGCGTTTGGGTCATGGCTCGCCTGGCCGAGTTTGGGCGAGGCAAAGGGAGAGAGACGGGAGAAAGGTGGTTCGAAGACGGGATGGAAGAGAAGCTGGGAGTTCGTAGTAGAGGCTGCTGGGTAGTCGACGACTGGTACTCCAGCTCGAGAAGCATGAGAAGGTCTGTAACAGTGACACCATCAGGAAGGCTGAAGTCCGGCCGAGGAATGCGCTTGTATGCGACAGACTTCGTCCTGCTCCTGTTCTTGGGCGGCTGGAGAGAGCCGGTCTCAACAGCCAAGCCTTCCGGCCTTCCCCGGGGTACGGGGACCGGGACGTCCGGCTCGCTTGGTCGACGAACTTCGCTTGCACAACTAGGCCGGCGCGCATCACTTGCGTAACTCGGCCGGCGGGCGTCACCGCCGGCGAAGGTGGTGAAGCTCGCGTAGCTGGGCCGGCGATCGCCCGGTTCATCCGGCAGACTCGGGACGTCGCCGGCGAACCCAAAGTCAAAAGCAGGGTCATTGGGCTGGTTGCCAAAGGTGTCTCGCTTCTGTGGGGGCTGGAAGTCGATGGTGTCCGTCCGTCTTACGGGCCTGACCTCCGGTGCGACCTCGGGCTCAGTCTTCGGCTGAGCCACCGAATCGCGGGTTCCATTGCCGGAGAACCCGAAGTCGAATAATGAGAAGTCGGAAGCCCGCTTGTCATTCTGCTGAGCCGGCCTTGGCTCGGGGGACGGCGACGGCTTCTGCTCAGGTCGGGGGCTGAGCGGTTGGGTGAGAGACTGGGGTTCCGGGGTCTTGAGAGGCGAGCTATATAAGGGTTGATGCGTGGCAGGGCTCTCCGGGCGTGAGCGTTGGCGCAATGACGGCGACCTTTGGAATGCCGACTGCAGACGAAGCTGCCCTCGTTGAGACTTGGAGAGCTGTCGTTGTACGCCGAGCCCGGGCACCGCTGGTGAAGATGCATCCGATGCAGACACAGGTTGTGCAGCGGGCATCATGCTCATTCTCCTCAGGGAGCTGAGGGAGTCCGGGGTCTTGGTCTCGAATGCCGACACTGCCTTGGAAACGGGGACATTTTGATGGCCAGTATGGTTCATCTCCTGGATGAGATACTGCAGTTGGTTGTCGTCGAGGTCGGCCAGGACCTCGTACAGGGAGCCGAAGGACGATGAGGGCTTGTGTCCCTTGCGATGAGACGGCGCCGGAGACTCCATGGCGGCTGATGATTGCAGGTGGTAGTTACTGTAGTGGTGGTGGTGGTGGTAGTGGTAGTGGTAGTAATAGTACTGCGTCGACCTGGTCGAGAGCAACGTCTGTCGGCAGCGCTGGCCGTGAAACCGAATCTACACCGTCGCCTGTTACACTGGCGGCGGATGATGGACATGAACTCAGTCGAGGGGGACGACGAAGAAGGCGGAGGTCATTCAAGGTTGCTGTGACCTTGCTGGGCAGCGTGTTCGTGTCGCACCGCACCGATGTGCTCCCGTCAAAGCCCTGCTCGACAGGTTTGTGTGGAGTCGACGTGCAGCAAGGAGACAAGCTTGATTGCAAGGCGAAGAAAAAAAGAAAAGCAAAGCAAAGCGCAGAGTAGCAACAGAGATCCGCTTCCTCGATGACGGGTGGAGCAGCGAGTTTGAATTGGATGTCGTGAAAATGCCAAAAGTCCGAAGCAGTCGCACGTACACAGTGCCTTCCTTGCCTTACTCGCGAGGGGAGGGTAAAAAAAAAGGCTTGGGATAACTCGTGACAAGTCGGGATATCAAAGCCCATGCCTGCCAATGCCCCCTTTTCAAAAAGGTCGCGCCAAATCATTAAAGCGAAATGATGAGTAATTTGGCACGCTGGGGCGACATCGAGCCCGTCGCAGGGGTCTCGTGGCGCGTTTGGAGCGCGTTACAAAACCTCTTGTACATGGCCCGTGCCGGGCACGTGGAGATCAAACAGAGAGATGAAGGGGAGAGCCGTTATGGGGTCTGATTGACAGCTTACAGGAGGAAGAATGGGCGCTGTTTCTTTGAGTTGATTAAATTCCCGAAACTTTATTCCACACTATTGGCTTTGGCAATGACGTGAAACACAGGTGGGATGAGCTAGAGGTCGAGACTTTGGGCTGTCAGTGATATATCCCAGTGAAGAGTGAGTGAGTGAGAATAGCTCATTGAGATCTGAGACTCGGCGGAAGATAAGAATGAGATTGAGTGAGATGAAGCGAGGGGAAATAATTGAAGTTACATCATGTAATAAGAAAGAGGATAATGCAATCGGTCTAAGCATGCCATTCAGAAAATCAATAGTGAGATTGCCTATGTTTTCGCTTTTAGATAATGCTATTTTGTGGCCCCCAACGCCCTTAACATCGCTCTCACTCATAAGTCATTCACTCAAGTCACTCTCGATCACCCATTCAGTCTGCCTGTGCGAGCCAAGCACAGACTTCTAACGCCTCCTCATAGAGAACGAGTCTCCTGCGTGGTACACCTCCTGTATGAATCGATCTGCATCGCTAATCATCCTGATGCTCTGGTCCACGCTTGGGGAGGTCGGATCTCCCATGACGGACTGCCAGCTCTGCAGAAGCTGCTTTAAATGATCACCAGCTCCAAGCACATCAGAGGGGATCATGTCTTTAAGTTGCGGGATGCGGCAGGCTGCAAGCAAAACTAGCATTGCACCGGCCATCCTACACGCGCGACACCTTATTAGCTGGATTTATCCGTATGAGGTATGAGTGCTTACGAGAGCGAGCAGATCCACGTATCTACCAGAACCGTCTGTCCAAACCCCCTGAGGTTGAGGATGTGCAACAAACAAGCATCCAGACAAGCCTTGCAATTATTCAAAGAGTCTTGATTGATGAGAAGTTCAGAATTCGCCTCACCACGGCCAGCCCTACCGCTCAGCATCCACATCAGATATGGCCGGTATATCACACTCCGGCAGGTGAGGTATCTCTGCCGTAAGAAACCGCCGTGTTCTGTCGGAGTGCTCTGATTGCCGATGTGATTGAAGCCCACCTCAAACTTGAAGGCGGCCGGGAGGACGTCGCGCCACTCATCGAGTTGGTGGTTCAGCTCGGCCACAACATAGGGGAAGCGGGTGTGGTCGAGGGCGGTGCCGGTGTCGCGTGCGTAGAGGAGCTGGTGGACGCGATTGAGGAGGCGGCGCATGGAGATGCAGGCGAGGAAGTACAATGAAGACTTCTCTTCGACTTTGCTGTCACGATGGGTGTTGTATTGGCCCGGCAGGGCCGTGGAAGATTCGATGCGGGCAATGCCTGATTGGGGCAGGCCATTGAGCTCCGCGAGGTAGTCGCTGGATTTCGTCAGTCAAATTTGGCAGAGGCAAGGCCGTAAGGATGGTTATTACCTCTCCAGAATGTAGCACGACCAGAAGATCCTGCGAATGCGTTCCTGGTCTTCTTCTGATTCTGATTCCGGAGGATAAGACAGCAGTAGGAGACACTTGGCGGAGGCTGCATTGATGTACTCCCATGCCTGTAGCGGCCGACGGAGAAAGGCAAAGTACATACTGTGAGACCAATCGGGTCAGTTCCTGCATGAGATTTTCGCCATAAACGGGATGGGCGCTTACGCTGTAAAGAAGAGACAATGGGTTGCAGTGCTGCCCACATTAGTGTGTACGACATGCAGCTTCTTCAGCACGCTGTCAAAGTACATGTCGCCCATAGCCCGTCTGGCGAGCCTCCGTTTCCGCTCCTCCTCGCTCAGCGTCGTCCCGGTGGTCAGGCCGGCAGTTACTTGACCCGCACAGCCGAGTGCCATCGTCAGGAGTGCCAGGCATACGAGGATGCTGTCTTCTTCAGGGATCCCATCTGAAATCAGCTTCCGCACTTGCGCGAGCTGACCGCAGGACATGGTCGGGTACCAGAAGTTGATGGTGAGCTCGAACGACTCGATGATGCCATCAATCTCCTCGGCGGTCACGTAAGGGTACATGACCGTTGAGCGTGTCTTGACCACGGGCCGCGACTGCTCGAGGTGGAAGATGGAGACGTAGTCATCCTTCATGCTCGGGAAGGCCTCGAAGTGCGGCCATTGGAGGATGGACTCGGTGGTGCTCGTGTGCATGGAGTCCAGCACGGCGTTCTCGTAGTTGTTCTGGTACAGCGGCTCGGAGATGGGGGTGCGCTGCGGGTGGTGGATCTCGTTCAGGGGCGAGCCGGAGAAGGACCCGCGCGAGGCCGAGCGGAGAGCCGGCGAGACCACGGCCGGGCGACTGTCGGTGAACGGCGGCGCGCCCTTGAAGACCCCATCGTGAGACGGATTCGGTGAAAAGTGGAACGAGGAGGCGGCGGGACTGACGATGGTGGCCTTCATCTCGTGGAGGAACTTCTCCACCCTCAGTACGCCCTCGAGGATGAGGTCGCTCTTCCCACGTCTGATGACATGCAGCACATTAATGGTCAGAGCTTGGTCTCCTTTGTCTCTTCTCTTTGCGCGAGTCCCCGGGTGGGCTTGATTCGCCCGCCGGGGATCACGGCGCCGACAGCCGGGCGGGACTTACGAGTTCGCCTCGGATCCATAGGTGCATTCCTGCTGCGATGCAGAGCACGAGGCGCATGGCGTGTTGCCGTTGCATCTGGGCGAGACATCGTTAATCTTCTCTTGTTTTCCTGCAGATGGCGCGGACCCGAGAGTCTGGGACGACCTGGGCCTGGTTGCTTGGCCTTGGCCGTGCCGCACGTACCTGATCTTCCTGGCGCGGCATGTATCGCACTGCGGGACGTGACGTCGGTCAGCTTCATGGTTCTTCGGAGAGATTGCCGCTCGGTGCCAGGGGAGGTGCCATTGCGGCTGCTGCTAGCAGGATGGATGGCATTCTCCACAAGTGGCAGATCATGGGGATGACAAAGTCGAGGATAAGCGCCGTTGTGCGCATGCCATTCCGAGTGGAATTGGAACATCGTGAAAAACCTGGCATTCTTGGTCTTTGGTGGTGGTCTACACCCGAGTCTGTGCTGCGCATTTTGTCTCTCCCCCGAACACGGCCCGTAGCGACAACGCTTGGTCATGAACACCACAAAAGACAATTACTGAACATCAGACGAGACGATTAAATACAACTTACGGCATGGCTCGTCCTCAACCTCTTCCTCGACGGCTCAGTAATCGACTCATTATCCATCGTCTCCATTGAATCAGTCGCAATCACGGGGTGGCAGGCATGGCGTAGCACCCAATTCGGCCGTTGGAGGTCCTTCGATCCGAAGCGGACCGAGTGCAGAAGGCACTGGAGTTTGCAAGTGGAAAAAAAAAAAAAAAGAATGGATGCACAAGGGGGGGCAAACGAAGAATCCTGGCAGAGGGGGGAGGAAATGCATTGGATACATATGCAAACCCACGTGTGGTGCGGGGGAGACACGCTGTGGAGAAGGGGGTGGGTGAGAGAATTGGAGAAATTGGACGGGCTTGGCCCAGGAGGGAAGCCTTGAGGGGAAGCTAATTACGCGCTGCCTCGCTCCGCCATTCCCCGACTGCTTTCACGCGGTGAAGGTGACATTGGACGATGCTGTCGCTGGGGAACTGTCCGGGGATGTAGCCGTTCGAGGAAAGGCGGGCTGGACGAATTGGAGAAAACGCATGTGATGGCACCGCTTGGCGAAATTGCCTGACGTTATAAAGTGATCAGATGTTCTCTTCTTCATCGGTTGTGACATGGAACTCGGTACGGGAGTTTTGCTGTTGTTGGTCATGATGGTGCCGTCCTAGAGTCTGGTCTCACTCTTGCAGGAGGGCCGTGCCGCTCCAATCACGAAGCCTAGGCGGGCAAGGTTACCCCAATTATCCAATTATCCACCAGCACACAAGAACTCGGCCGACATGTCAATCTCAGTTATTTCGTGAGAAAGATGATTTCAAGAAATGTCTGGACAACATAGAGCACTGGAAGTATTATTATTTATGTGTACGCTAGCTGCGATAAGAGGCATGTGAACCGGTATTGCGGATTGGCCCGGGCATCGGACCGGGCCCCGAGCCGGTATCGCCCCACAAGCATCGCCAAACCCGGGCCGAGGTGGGTCCTCAGACACCGGCCAACTTCTCGTCCACGTTCATGGTGTTCAACACGGTCTGTGCGGACCGCTTCTCCAAACTCTTCTTGACAGGGTTGGGAGCACTGAAAACCTCCTCCAATTCCTCCAGAGTACGGTCCTTGGTCTCGGGGAAGAAGAAGTACTGGCCGAACAGTTAGCGATGCAACGTGAGGGTGGCTGCAATAGAACGGGTACTTACAATGAACACGGCCTCGAACAAGTCCCAGACAATGAACACAATGTAAAAGTAGTACTTGATGTTGAGGAACGCGGGTCCACTGGCGTACTGGATGATGGTGCTTCCGACGGCACTGGCAAAGTTGCCGACGGCAGTGCCCTTGGCACGGGTGGCCGTGTTGAGGGTTTCGGCAATGTACATGCTCTGGAGCGGTGTCCAGCCGAAACTGAAAACGATTCCAAAGATGTAAATGAAGGCGATCGTGGTGTTGGCAGCTGCCTCGTTGCTGGCGTCCTCCGTGGCAAGCTTCGAGGTTCCAGTGATGATGGCGAAGCAGAACGAGCAGAAGATTATGGAGTAGATCAAGAGGGGCCGGCGACCGACGACATCCGTCATACGGGCTCCAGCAAGGGCAGCTCCAAAGCACAGAATGGGGTTGATGGCGTTCAATGCCAAAACCTTCTTCTCGTCGTCGATTCCGGCGTTCTCTAGCAGAGCGGTCATGTAGTAGGAGCTCAGCGAGTTGCCAGACACCTGTCCAAAAACAGCCATGCCCAAGACGCAAATGAGTCTGCGACGAGCCGAGTGGGTGTTCCAAAGCTCGCTGTAGTCCCACCACTTCTTGTCAGACGCGTCGGTCCGGATCTGCTGTGCCATTTCCTTGAGCTGGAGCTGCACGATAGGGTGATCCATGGAGCCCTCGCCGTGGTAGGTCGCAAGGATCTTGGCGGCTTGTTCATGCTTGTCGTTTGCCATTAGCCATCGAGGAGACTCGGGGATGAAGAAGACGCCGACGCAAATGATGCCAGAAGTCACCTGGATTTCTGTTAGGGGAACTGTGGGTGAGGGTTGAAGAATGGGCACCAACCATCTGAATCCAGATCGGGATACGCCAGCCACCGTCATGTTCGATGTATGAACATCCGTAAACGGTCCAAGAGGCGATGATCGAGCCGACATACCTGGTACCATCCAGTCAGTACGCAGCAATGAACGCGATCGCTCCCAAAACGTACCAAGTGCAGTTGTATACACCCGTAATGGTTCCTCTCCACGCTGGGTGGGCCATCTCGGATACATAGGTGGGAGCGGAGACGCAAACGAAGCTGACGCCGAATCCTAGCACGAAACGTCCGGCAAGGAATTGACCGGCGCTGGAAGCCATCAGTATGCTGCATATTGCAATGCGTCGGTGGGTACCTATTCTCACGACTTGGTGGGGGCCTGGATGCAGGTGCCGATAATGACAATCAAGCTGCCGATAAACATGCCCCATCTGCGTCCGAGATAATCGTTCGTGGGTCCGGTGAAGAAGACGGCGGCGACACTGCCGATATTGTACATGGCAAAAATGATGCCGGTGCTCTGATCGACCGTCTCCCTATCAATCACGTTAGGTAGTTTACGAAAGTCCTGGTGGGGACTACTGACTTGTTGAAGTAATTCATGTACGACTTCATGCCGTTGAGGCCTCCCATCTACTGTGTGTTAACCATTGAGGAACTTGGGCTATTTGCGATAGCACTCACGAGAGAGCCATCGTAGCCGTTGAGAGCACCGCCAAGGTAAGCTAGGTACAGGTAGTTAGGAAAGCGCATCCTTGAGATATTCGAAGCATGGCACGACGCACCGATGATCAGAATGCCGTAAAGACGGAACATGGACTTTGTCCAAGGCGAGTACTGGCCTTCCTGGGACTCGTGGGCGATCTGGACGGCGGCATCGACATGGACCTCTGGCGAAGTACCGGCCGGGCCGGGCCTCTCGGCGACGTGTTCGCCGGCCGCCATGTCGGACTTCTCGGCGGACATTGTGGATTGAGCTGCAAGATAATACCAAGTACCACTCTATGCGTAGGCAGACCAACACGGGCTCAAACCAAGTGGACCAAGTGGTCAGGAACAGTGGAGAGACGTGGAGAGATCGAGTCTTGGATGGGTTCCATCGATGGAGACGAAGGATGGAGAGGGCGATGACATGGCCCTCTTAAATGCTGCGACGACCAACCCCAGCCTGTTCAAGACACAAGCTCTCCCCGCATTCGGGCCATCAGATCATTCGAAGAAGGTCACAAAAAAAGAAGAAAACCTGGGGTGTCAAGAGTCACGGCCGACCATCAGCCCGACAACACGGGTGCGCTTGCAGTTGTCGGCCCACATTAGCCGGGGGTCTAGACGGAATTCGATCTGGGGTAAAAAGACAAAAGAACTTTCCGTCCGTTGGAACATCAGACTAGACGAACAGGGTCTGCAGAATGGGATGGACGGAGGGTTGGAGGGTAAGGCACAGGGGAAGGGAGTGAGATGGATGGTTGGGGGGGTCGGGGGTGTGAGTGTGTGTGTGTGTGGCAGATGCAGCGGTGTTAGCCCCCGAGGTCCAGTGGTCCTCTGCTGCGAAGGTGCGGGGCCGGCCCCGACTTCCCCGAACCCACCTAAGGAGTGCCCACCACCCCCGGTCCGGGGAAGCTATGCCCCTTGTGGCCTTGGACTCTACTGCATAGTAGGTTGGTGCGGACCTTCTCCGACGAGGGGTGGAGGGGTAACGCGAAGACCTCCACTGCATGCCTTGCGAAGAGGTATCTCTCTCGGGGTAGTTTCCCTCGTTTCACCGACCACCCACCCGCCTGGCCGCCTGACTCGGAGCTACCCCGAACAGAGCAGAGCAGTGAGGGGCAGCAACTTGCAAGAAGCACCCGTGGACCTCACACTCACTCTGCACCGGCCTGCAGTTGCCCCACGTTCACTCGTCATACCTTAAGGTACCTATGGCGGGATAATGCTGCTTCACGAGAGCAAACTTGCAGATTGGATGGATAGCAGTCCCTTTCCCCAGACACGTTACTTCGCGTGGAGCTTTGAGCGTGAATAAATAACCCTACGACCGTGGGCTGCCGGTCGACTTGTCTGCCCTCCCCCTCCTCCTCCTCCTCCTTCGTTTGTCTCCCTCTCTCTTCTTCGTCCTTGGCCGTCGTCTCCATCGTCGTCTTCATCGTCGTCTCCATTGTCGTCTTCGTCGTCGTCGTCGTCGTCGTCGTCCTTACTCTCTGACACGCCCTTGGCCGTTCAATCCGTCTACCAAGCCATCGTTACCCCTCCTCCGAAACCGCCACGATGGCCCCCCAAAGCTTACCCCTCCAAGCAAAGGAGGGCGTCCACGACTACGAAAACCCTGAGGTGTTCCGTCGCAATACCCTCCCTGCTCGCGCATACTTCATTCCTGAGACCTCCATACTCCTCAATGGCGTTTGGGACTTCCACTACGCTGGCACTCCTGGCGAGGCCCCGTTGCCCGACGACAAGGACGACAAGTGGGAAACCATCAACGTCCCCGGACACTGGCAGCTCCAAGGCCATGACTACCCGTGGTACACCAACACCCAGTTCCCTATCCCCGTCGACCCGCCCTACGTTCCCAGCGAGAACCCCACCGGCACATACAGACGCACCTTCCACGTCCCCTCCACATGGGACGAGAAGTCTCAATTGCGCTTGAGATTCGACGGTGTCGACAGCGCCTATCACATCTGGGTCAACGGCGTCCTCATTGGTTTCGCCCAGGGCTCGCGCAACGCTTCCGAGTTCGACGTCACGAGCATGCTCAACCGGGATGGCCCCAACGAGGTCTTTGTGAGAGTCTACCAATGGTCTGACGCCACCTACATCGAGGACCAGGACCAGTGGTGGCTTTCCGGTATGGAACCCTTACCCCTGCTCATGTCCTCTTTCTTTCCTCTAACCAATTGGCATAGGTATCTTCCGCGATGTCACCCTCTTGGCCGTGCCTGAGCCTTCCAGAATCGAAGACTTCTTCCTTCGCACCGACCTAGACGACAAGTACGAGAATGCCACCCTTCTCGCCACCGTTGACGTCAAGGCCGCCGAAAAGGGCACCGTCAAGCTCACTCTCAGCGAGCTGGGCAAGAACGGCGGCGCCGTGATTGTCACCAAGGAGGCTGAAGTCAACGCCAACGACTCCAAGGTCGAGCTCAGCATCCCCGTCACAAACCCCAAGAAGTGGACTGCTGAGACGCCCTACCTCTACAGCGCCGAGATCACCTTCGCCTCTCATACAGTCTTCCAGAACATTGGCTTCCGCAAGGTCGAGCTCAAGAACGGATTGATCTCTGTCAACGGTACCCCTATCCGCATCCGCGGTACCAACCGCCACGAGCACCACGCCCACTTCGGTCGCGCTGTTCCCCTCGACTACGCCAAGCGCGATCTTCTCCTAATGAAGACTCACAACATCAACTCCCTGCGATGCTCACACTACCCCCCTCACCCCAAGCTCTTCGAGCTTGCCGACGAGCTCGGTTTGTGGGTCATGGACGAGGCCGATCTCGAGTGCCACGGCTTCTACGACTGCATCGCTCGTCCGCAGGACGTTCAGGAGGAGGCCGACTACGAGGAGCGCAAGGCCGTCACCTTCCCCAAGGCTGGCAAGTACACCAGCGAGAACCCCGTCTGGCGCGAGGCCTATCTTGACCGTATGGTCCAGCTGGTTCAGCGTGATAAGAACCACACTAGCATCATCATGTGGTCTCTCGGTAACGAGGCATTCTACGGCGAGAACCATAAGGTCATGTACCACTACGCCAAGAAGTTTGACCCCGGCCGTCCGATTCACTACGAGGGAGATGTCAATGCCGAGACCGCCGACATGTTCTCTTACATGTACCCTCCCATTGACCGCTTGACGCGTCTCGTCACAACCGAGCAAGTCAAAGAAGACGGCAAGTTTGACAAGCCAGTCATTCTGTGCGAGTACGGACACGCCATGGGCAACGGCCCTGGTGGTCTGGACGACTACATTGAGGTTTTTGAGAAGTTCCCTCGTCTCCAGGGTGGCTACATCTGGGAATGGGCCAACCACGGTATCTGGAAGGAAGATCCCGACGGCAAGAAGTACTACGCATATGGCGGAGACTTTGGCGAGCGTCCTCACGACGGAACCTTCGTCATGGATGGTCTTCTTCACAGCACCCATGACCCTACCCCTGGTCTGATTGAGCTGAAGAAGGCTTACCAGCCTCTCTCCCTCTCTGTTGAAGAGAACAAGCTCGTCATCTGGAACAAGTACGACTACGTTGGCGTCGACCACCTCTCCGCCTCCTACAAGGTGGAGGAGTTGGGTGAGAAGTAAGTCAACTACTACCTACGCCTAACGCACCGAAGCCAGAGTACTAACGATTGGACCATAGCTCTGCTCTCCTCGCCGCTGGCAACCTCGAGGTTCCCACGATCGCCGCTGGCGAGACGGCCAAGGTCGATCTGCCGTCCTCCCTTTCGAGCATTAAATCTGACAAGGAGGTCTACATCACCATCACCTTCCGTCTGAAGGACTCTACCAACTGGGCGGAGCCCGCTCACGAGATTGCCTGGATTCAGCACAAGCTGTCCGGCGTCGCCCTCGTTCCCAAACTCGGTCACGATACGCTCAGCTCCAAGCTGCAGGTCAAGCAAGTTCGCTCAACAGCAACCATCTCCGGTTCCGACTTCACCTTCACATTTGACACAGCCCGCGGCTACCTTACCTCTTGGACTGCCGCCGGAGTGCCGCTCCTCGAGAAGGATGCGTCCACTAATGCCTCTATTTCTCCCAACTTCTGGAGAGCCCCTACCGACAATGACAAGCCCAATGATGTACCCTACTGGGTCCGCTATGGCGTCAACGCCTTCGACAGCACTCTGCGTTCTCTCAAGATCAACGAGTCTGCTGAGAAGGTGGAGATCATTGCAACCACCTACCTCAGCCCTCGCATCTTGGATTGGGGCTGGAATACTGTGACCACCTATACTATTGACGCTGCCGGTCGTCTTACCATTGCCGTCGACCTGAAGCCAAGAGGCATCAAGCCTACGCACATCCCCCGCGTTGGTCTCAACCTCCGCCTGCCCAAGGCTCTTAACAACGTCAAGTACCTCGCCCTTGGCCCCGGCGAGTCATACCCCGACAAGAAGTCCAGTCAGCGCCTCGGCGTATACCAGACGACCGTTCCGGAGCTGCACCAGCACTACGAGGTGCCTCAGGAGGGCGGCAACCATCTGGAGACCCGCTATGTAAAGCTCACCGAGGGCTACGGCCGCGGTATCCGCGCCACCCCGGCTGATGCTGCGCTTTGGTCTGAGGAGGAGTGGCGCCAGTTCAGTTTCCAGGTCAGCCACTACAAGACCGAGACTGTCCAAAACGCCGCGCACCCGTGCGATCTCTTTGAGGAGGACGCCACCCTCCTGCGTCTTGATGCCCGCGTTGCCGGTGTAGGCACCGCCGCTTGTGGTCCTAACGTTCGTGAAGATCTCAAGGTGCATGTAGGAGACTTCAAGTTCGCCTTCGTGTTGGAGCGCGTTGGATTCTGATGGGCCGATGATGACTGAAGCGAAACTTGGCTAGAAGGGCCGCCGAGCCCTATGAATGTTCATGGCTAGAACTAGTAATGGTACGAAACGTTATGATGATGCATCTCTGAGGTGAATGACCACGTGACGACGACGATGACAGAGACGAAACGTCTGTGGAAAGCTGCCTGGTCTTGATGCTTCGGAGAGAGACGACAAAGATGCCATCCACTTTTTTGCGTGAAGGACATGACTCGGCGTTCGGGATGTGCACAAACACTACTTGTGTTGCCCCGCACTGCATGATGGCAACACAAGGACATCTCGTCTCCGGGATTTCCGCAACTGGCCGGTTGGCCCAATGGCAAGGCGTCTGACTACGATCGATCGTGACATCAGGAGATTCTGGGTTCGACCCCCAGGCTGGTCAATTCCTTTTGTATTTTCACGTCATCTTCACTTTTGCGAGGCATGGAAGCAAGTTCCATGATACAAATGTGATCTAGGGTAGACTGAATTCTAAGGCCAGCCTAATGATAATGGGACGTCGACGTACACGTTTGACTCGAGCTTGCACAGACAGGCTTACGAACGCGAACGCGCACTGCTTCTCTGAATCGCCTGCGCATTTGCAATTATTTGAGCAGTGCGGGCTGCCGCATGTTCGTATGCCCAGTGTTCGACCAACCATACTGTGAATCCAGTGACAGCCGCCATTGTTTCCCACCTCTCCCCGAAAACGCCAATCAGCCCTGTTCCGAAGAAGGTAAATTTGAGCCCCGCATTTAACATAGCAACGATCTCGCCGCCGTCGGAGCTGTGACCGACTGGTCTGTTCCTTCGCTTGCCCCCCGCACTGGGATTGAGGTTTGTTATCCGAACAAGCTCGTGTGCGGGTTGGCGTCTCCACCAATCGCGTGCCCTGCGCTCCTTGACCTTCGTCGCTCTCCATTCGAATGTCTCCGTCACCCCATTGATGTTCATCTTGAACGGCAAGCACTGGATGTTGCCGTCTCGGTCTCGCCTGAAGCGGTTGAGACTGGTGACTTCTTGATAGTACTCTTGCAAATCCCCAGCAGGGGGGAGCTTGAACAACAAGGGGCCCCACTGACTTCCAGAAACCATCGCCATTGAAGGGCTGTGTGCGTGAGGTCCGTCATGGAGGTCAAAATAAAATCTGTCAGATCCTCCAAAGTTGCTGGTCCAATAGTGGTGGGTTGTGGGAACAAAGGTTCCATTATGGCAGTGCACACTGAACAGAGGCCTATCTGGTGAAAGGCCCAGGAGGTAGTGTCCCTGTACGCGTCGGCGTCGCCACCGGTGTACCCTTGGTCCTTCCACGGAATAGCCGCAGAATGACGGCGGGAACTTGGCCAATGTTCCTGTTGAGCTGTGGGAATGGGACCTGTGGGGATGGGCACCGCCATCAACGCCGACGGCTTGCTCTTGGTGCGTGTTGTCACTTGTAGCCATGGCGTGTGTTGGTGGTGGCAGGTGCAGATACTAGTAAGGAAGGCCTAGGGTAGAGGCGAAGATGAAATAAAATACCACAAACGGTGGAAGAGAGTCAAGGAGATTGCTTCATAGGACTGGAGAGGTCGGCTGTAGGTTTGATATTGTGATGTGCGATGGAGGGAGAAGAAGGGCGGGAGAAGTGCAGCACAAATCAGGGATTACGTGCCTTCCTTAAGGTACCTTACCCAGGCAGGCAGGGTAGGATAGAGCGACTTTCCAGGCGCAGATGGTGCGAGGCAGGTAGGAGGTAGGTCCGAGGAAAGCCTCATCGGGAGCAGGACCGCTCCTCCCAACTGCGCAGCTGAAGATACGGTATGGCAGGTGCGTAAGGTAGACTTGGGAAGGCCGCCGCATCGGATGCGCTGGAGTCGAGTGCATGGAGGAGCACGCACTGCAATCCATAGGTATCTTCCACGTCTGCTTGCCCAAACATTGCTGTCTACCTCAGGTATCTCAAGGCGCTTTGGTTTCATACACTGGGACTGGAAATCATCAGCTGCGCCTACCGCCCTTGGCTTTCTTGACGTCAATATCCCGCCAGAACAGCACCGAAATCCACGCAGCCGCAAGAATGGATGTTCCAGCAATGAATATGACCCGCTGTGTCTCTCCATACGCCCGGTCGATCGCCATCCTGGCCTCGCTTCCGTCCGCGTACGAGGACTGCACCTCCAGACTCCCGTAAATACTGTCGAGCTTCGTGAGCTCCGACGAGGGCAGGTGCGCCGCCAGCTTCTTCCGGAACAGCCCGGTCCATATCGCTGTTGCGATGGCAGAGCCCGCCCCCTTGCCGCACGCCACGATCGTCGTCTCCACCGCCAGCAGAGCCGGAGTGTGCGCGTGCGACACGGCCATGAGCGTCAGTTGCTCGATCGGGTACATGACGCCGTTGCCAAACGAGATAAGGATCTGGCACAAGATCATGACACCGACGGATGGATTGGGGATGTGCAGGCCCACCATGAGGCCTTCGCCGAGGATGTAAAGGGGGACTCCGAGGAGGAGAGCGTAGTATTTGATGCGGCCGTTGTACCGCAACGCCACCCCGAGAAGCAGATTCGAGACGGAGGCGCCAACCATCTCAATGTTGTTGATGTAGGTGGCATTCGTGACAGACTGGTGGAACTCGACGATGAGCATGGAGTAGATGTATGCTGCGACCACGCCGTCGGACGTATACAGCGTTCCGGCCAGCAAGTTGGTGAACACCACAGTCCGGTCCGTGAGGAGGTGCCATGGGAGAAATGTGACGGGGGCGAGATACTTCTCATACATCAGGAATCCCACAATCATCAGAACGCCGATGACGATGAAGGAGATGATCATCGGCGAACCCCAGCCTTGGGACTGGTACGAGTAGATGCTGATTGCCAGCAACAAGAAGCAAAGACCCGAAGCCAGAAGCAGCAGTCCGATGACATCGAACTCCTTGCAGTAGTGAATGAAGTTCTCCTGCCAAGTCTGCTTGTGGATTGGCCTCGAAATAAGCCCGGCGTCCCGCGCCTGCTTGTCGTACTTGAACATCAAGTACAGCAGAGGCAGGGAGCAAACCGGGATCAGAATCGCCCAGATGCCGAATCCCCACCTGAAGCCGATGGTGTCCAGGACACTCTCTGCTGCCGGACCGCACGCCCATATCGACAGGAGCGACGGGGTTGCGAGGACGCCCATGACGAAGGCCCGGTGGCGCATGGGGATGGCATCGGCGATGAGGATTGTGAAGCTGAACTGGATGCCAAAGAAGCCAATGTAGTAAAAGACCTGCGCTGCACAGTAGGTCTCGACGTTCTGGCAAGCGGCCATCATGACAGCGCTGACGGTCGTGAATAGCACCATCGAGGCCATGCACTGGGGCCTTCCCCAGAGGTCCAGGAGCTTCGCATACGGCAGCTTGATGATACCGCTAGTGACGTTGGCCACGACAGCCGTCGTTGCTGTAAGAGCATGCTGGCTGAAGTCGCTCGTGACATACGGGGTCAAGACTTTGAAAATCCCAGAGGAAAAGCCCAACGTGAAGTTGTAGAACCAGACGCTGGTGAGAGTTAGCCAAAGTGCTTATTCAAAAGAATTCTGGGGTTGAGAGATAAGGGTTACACTGTGATCAAGATAACTAGTTGGCGAGTGCTGAGAATCTGTTGAAGCGGTCCGATTTCCTCCTTCTCGGACTCCACCGCAGTGTCTTTCTCGGTGTCGTAGTCCTTTTGTTCGTCTTTGACGCTTGAGTCCTCGCTCGCCGAACCAACGGCGGTAGCTACCGACGGCTCCCGCTTTGTGGCGTTCTCCATCGTGGAGACCGCGCGGCCGCTATCGCAGGGGGCCGTCATGGTTGTCAAAGATTTGGCGAGCGCCCCTGCTTGAAGTGTGCTGACTCGGGGTTTGTGAGGGGGGAAACCGAGCAGGCGCGGCGTTTACAAGATCATGTCCAAAGAGGATTGTTCTTCAACCGGATACGAAAAAAATCCAAGTTTACGATAACTCAAAGAAAGAGATACGTCGCCTTGTAAGGCACAGCTTCGGCACTGGAAAGATTTTGACATGCCCCTGATTGCGGGGCTTTGACGCGTCGTACTGTTGCTTCCCGGATAGTGCTCCTTTTAATAGCGCCCAATCAACGACACCAGGTACCGCTGGTGGAGCGAGTCAGGGGCCTTTACAGCGGTTGAGCCACGCTGTAGTCGCGTTCTTTAGGGGAATGTCTTGCCGAGACGGGAGATTGCAATGTTGTAGTGAGACAGCTACAGCTCTAACCGATTGCGAGCTTGCGATGAAGACTCGGTCTTGAGTCTTTGAACGAGACGAGTGACTGGTGGCCTCGTTGGCAACGAAGCTTGACATTTGACAACTCAGTTGAGTGATTAAAGGGACAAAGCAGAAACTGTCGCTTGGCTTTTTCTGCCTACGTAGCAATGGAAAGTAATTTCCGCTGGTGAGACAACTCGCTGTAGGGACTTTCCGCTCCTGCCTGTTTTGGGGGCGCCGATGCCAGCGCCGGCCGAAAAGGTGTTGCCGGTCGGAAGTGTGGGGGGCCACTCCCGGGACATCCTCCGAGATTTGAGCCGCCACATCCGGGACACGGCAGCATTCAAGTAAAATCTGGTCGCAGCCAGTCAAATGTGTCCATGAGATCAAAGTTGAAGTCCAGCTGCGCAGACACGTCCCAGCTTGAGATGTCCACAGGCATGGCATTGCCGACGGCGCCGGTATCGTTCAGTGCGTGGTCGAGTACGTGCTGGATCACGACTTTGCAGTCGGCGCAGAGGTCTGCGTTCGGAGCGGAGGGCTTGACCCAGGACAGGAAACCGACCAGCAGACTGAGCTGTTGAATGATATTGGAGCGGGAGGGTTTGGGGTTTTGAGGGTCACCGGTGGGTGTAGGCCGGAGAAGCTCCAGGCATAAAACACCTCCGCCCGGAGCGGCATACGCCATCACCTGCGATCAAGGTCAGAATCATCAAGAGAGGGTTCGTAAACCGTACAGAGAAGATTGAGCTCACCAGCCACATGAAATCCCAATGCAACGGGGTAAACCGATCCATGTTGGTCCAGAACATGACGGCAGTCGATACCATCTCGAAGCTCACTCGTAACAGGTCGTCGTTGTTCGTATGGCCCCCACGAAAGAGCAATTGTTCGACGAAAAACAGATTTTGCAGGTGCTCCAGGTGCACAACCATCAGTGTATAGAGCGTACCGTCATTCAGTGTCGAATTCTTCACCTCCGCGGTGTTCAAACGCATCGCTGACGGCAGCTGAGCATAAGCCTGCAGCTGTCGCTCTTTTATACCCCTGAAAACCAGTCAGCATCATACTCTGAAGACCCACGAGATAATACGTACATGAGAGTTTGTAGCGCTGGAACTACCACGGGTCTGACTGCCAGAGCAATCTCAAATATGTCATCGCGGATCATGGAGAAGCACACTCGGGCTCGCAGGTTACCTACAGGCGGAAGGGCGCCGTCTCTATTCCACCCGTAGCTGTCTAGGCCCTCTGCTGCCGCTTTTCGGGTATCCTCGTCTGCCAACAAGTCCTCGTCCCGTAGAGCAAGTGGCAAGGGTGTCGAAGTAAACTTGCCGCACAGAAGAGGAGGACGACCCGTGAAAGTAGATCCTGCTTTGTCGCTGTGGAAGACGTGGCCAAACAATCTTCGCCGTAGTTCAGACGCGAGGGTCGGCACGTATGGCTGGTTTGGCGCGCTGTCGTCGATGTGAAGCCCAAGAGATGTCAGGAGAGTCACGCACTCTCCGTGGGATTGCCAGCACGAAAGACCTGCGATCGTAGATCAGCCATGAAACTTGTCAAGAATTGGTGCCCAAGCGATGGTGTTCCCTGGACTTTTCGACAGCAAGAACAATGGTTGCGTTAAAAGCTTACTTGCATCTCCATCAGCGACAGAGTCAACGATTCCTCGCTTGTAATGAAGGTAGACCGACAACGTATTTCCTGCCTTCGAGGTCGTGGCTCTGGCGAGCAGAACGCAATCGTTGAGACATTTCCGCAGGACTGCTGCAGACTTCACTGTCTTTGGTGTATTCTTGACTCCCCGCGAACCGAGAAACCAGTACGCGAAAAGCAAGCCCAGAGTTTCCCAGCGGGTATTTTCTCCTGAAAATTGTTCAATGTAGCGGTTGCCGTCTGGCTCATTTTCCACAAATACCTTTGATGTGTTCATGCAAATGATCTCTGCCAAGTCTGATAGCTTACCTACGTTGTGATCCATCGTCTCAAAGAGCCTGCCATAGTGGTGATAAAAGCGGTCGAGGGCACGTGGCGCAATGAGCTGGAAAGCGATGTCACACTCGTTGAAGTGGGAGCCGAATAGAACTTGCGCATCCTCTCTTCGAGGAATACGTTGGAGAACAGAAATGCATGTCTTTAAAACTGCATCTGACACCCGTTTGTGTTCTGGTTCTGTGTTGGGTGTGTTGATACCGCTTCTGCGTGCCCTGCTTGTAAGTTGGGGTTGGAAAGGCGACAGAGCGTCCCGCGTTTCTTCGTATATGCCGAGGTAGGAAGTGAATCCAAGGAACCCAGGGGATTGCGCATCGACTGGGCTATCTGAACGAGGACTTTCACGTTCCTTCTCAGAACGATCGCGAGTCCCGGTGATTGAGCGACGGCGGGTTCGGGCTTCGGGGCTGGCTGAAGTAGGCGACGCACTTCTCGTTCTTCGCCCAACATGCTGCCGAGTCGTCGATGCAGGCGGCTCGGAATCCTCTGTCTCATAGTCACACGGCTCTCCCGGCCTTCTCCGTCTTCGACAGCTTCTGCAGACCGGGCGAGCGCGGTCGCAGGCAACCTTGCGCCGATGACATGGGCCGCAGGCGTGCGGCCGTCCATTTCTTCGGCGAGTATTCGGCGAACTGGGCGTGACCATAGGCATGTCGACTTTCGGCGATTCGATTTGGGCAAGAAAAGAGAAAGGCAAGACCTGCTACAAGATTAGAAGAAAAGACGGTTTGCTTCTTGACCTCGGTGCCGAGAACGTGGTGCGTTTGTGAGCGGGAAGAAATTTCGGGGTCGGCCTCGGCTGAACTGACTAAGGCCCACTAGTTCGGTGCCGAACTTTGGCTTTGCCGTGCCGAGAATCAGCGATGACATGCACACCTAGCTGACAGTCCTGATGAACAGGCTTGGGCGAGAGATTCTGCTTTTATTCATTTGTCAGAGTATCAAGTGAGTTGGGTGGCGAACCTTCCATGATCATGAAGCCGACGAACATATCCCACGCTCCCATCCCGTGATGCCGCCAAATACCGAAAAATACACGATGCCGAAGTGCAAGCAACCGGCAACCTATGCAACAATTTTGCTTCGCAAACCGCTCAAACGCCCTTATATGTCCCTGTACTGACGCACAAACTCATGCAATTCCACGAGAGACTCGTGGCCAACTTTTTGCATGTACGCCGAACTCCGATCCCCAGAGATGGCGACTTTGATGATCTGCTTCGCTGCCCAGCAGAGCTCAGTGTTGTATCTGACCATCCCACTCTTTTCGAATACAGTGGGATCCATGCGGCTTTGTATGGTCTCCCACATTGCCTCCCAACGTGAGATGGCGCGAGAGAGATTCCGAGTGCTGGGGCCCAGGACGCCCATCAAGTTTGCAGTGAGCACCATACCATTGATACCTGCGAATTGTCAGCTTCAAATTACCACATACGGCCGGGCTGACATACCAAATATGAGAATTTGTAGGTCCGTCGCATTAATGTCTTGAAAGGGGAAGCTCCCCATACCGTTCCAAGTGTCGCTCATCAACGCATCCATGCAGTGCTTAAGTGATACTATCCTCCTCGCAGGATTGAACCCCTTGGTATTGGCAGTTTCATAATACTCCTCTGCATTGCTGGCATCCCATAGTTCCAGCGGACAGGGGAGATCGCACGTTATCTCTGAGGTGGAGATCATGGACGGCACGTTGAACATGCCGGTTTGTTGCCAGTCTGCCAAAGCCATCCAAGTTGCCAGCCTGCAATCGTTAGATCAACCACGATGTCGGAGAGAGCATGACCTACCTAATGCGAGACTCGTTCCGCACAAATTCATCGTACTGAAATAGCGGCGCATGCCTCGTCTGAGCCAGCCCAAGACAACGCACAGCCTGGACCAACATCGGAAGCCTTTGCGTACGGTTCTTTCGCCGCGTTGCCATATCGTTTCGGAAGAATTGCACACTATGAATCATGACCGCTGCTTGAAGGCTCGCCTCCAGCTCAGGGGTCCACTCAGGCGTCACGCCGTTCGGGATCATCCTATGGAGCCTTCTGAAGATGTACTCCTCAATGAGACTCAGGTAGGCCCGTGCAGCTAGAGCGTCATCGCTGGGCGGTGATCTCAAGGCGCCAGAGACAGCAACAGCGATTAGGAGCTCTTTCGTCGTCCGGTCCGTGCCAAAGTCTGGCCGGTGCAGGATGGGAAAGTCGATATGGCTTACGCGGAAGTACGTGGCAGCAAACATGCAGAGATTCTCCGCCGAGAAGACGGAAGTCGCAGCAACGCGGTCAAAGGCTCCGTCATACCACGGGTCGCAGATCTTCAATGCATGGTGGAGCTCTTCAAGTTCAGAGACGATCATGGCTGCCCGCGACTCGAATATTGCCGGGTCGTACGATGAAGTTGGTGTATGTATTAGCGACGCTGTCAGTCCGGACGTTTCCGCGAGCCCGGACATGGCATAAAGGTAGTCAATTGACTCGGGGACGAAACCAGTTGCGAAAGGGTACGGTAGGAAGGCGGCAAAGTCCTGGTCGATAGACAAGCTCGGAGGGAACGGGGCAGGCACCACCGGTCTCATACTCGAATCAAGCCCGTCGCCTTCAGTCCTGGCGGCTGCTTCACTAGCGAGGAATTCGAGAATGTTTTCCGAGTTTGGGTTTGTGAGGCCGAGGAGGAAGGCGACTGTGATCTTTGTGCGGTCCTTGTCGTTGTTGTTGGTGGGAGTACCGACGGCTGTTGACGAAGCCGAGGAATCCGTCGCAACGGACGGCGCGTCTTCGAGCCTGTGGTAGGTACATGCTAGCTTGCGAGAGACGCAGCGCTCGCATGGATCGGATGTGTCGCATGATTGTTTGCTGTGGAAGCAAGCATCGCACGCCCGGGGCTTTTGGCCGCGCTTGAGAATGGGAATGGCTTCATGGTCTTTTTTGTTCGGGCAGTGAATAGTATGCTTGCGGCAGACGTCGCTGTGCTGGTTTAGAAAAATGGTTCTAAAAGAAGAGGGCCAAACATACCGTCTAGCAAACGACTTTTCGCAGTAAGGGCACTTATAGCTTGCGCCTTCGATATCTAGAGAGGTGTGAGCGTCAAGAACACCGAGATAGCATGTGAAGATGATGGCAGATGAGATGAACGGTTCACACTCGACTTCAGCTGGCAAGTCGATGACTGAACCTAAGCTACAAGGGATGAATGATCTCCACAAAATTATGAAGGCAGCCAAACCACATCAGGATAGCAAAAAAAAAAGGTCCCGTTCAGGGGGGCTCGCGAATGGCTTCATGGTCTCGAGAACAAAAGTCCCCCAATTGAGACAGATATATTACCCGTCACGCCCGGAACAAGCCGACGGAAGAGATCACAGATCGCAAGACTTACGTGTGGATTCGTGCCGTCGCAAATGAGCGCTCCGCTGATACTGCTTACCGCAGGTCGCGCAGGTGTACCCGCGGCCGCCGGTGCCAACGACAGACTCCGGCATCTCGGGTCGCAGCAGGCTCCCGAGGCCCAACGCTGATAGACTGGGAGATCAATCGAAATCGGGCATAGAACCGAGACAGATCACCCGGTGCTTGTTGGTGGGTTTGGACGGAAAGGGCGTGAAGGAATCGTCAACGGGGATGGTGAAAGGAGGTGGGTTTTATCCGAGCTAGTCGGAATCTCGCGGACTGGGCGGACTGCAATTGTCCTTGACGGAGTGAAACCCTGGACCTGGGCCCGGACAAATCCCACTGCCGGGGTCGTTGGCTGCGACGCCGGTGGGTTTTCACCTTAAATCCAGCGCGATCCACTCCTGACGGGTGGCTGGGCTAAGCCTGATTCGGATGTCTGGGCATGCCGTGTAAGTTGAGATCATGGGGGCATGAACGGCCATCGGGGACATTAGGAGTGCGGATGAGGTCCTTGAATATTCCGAGAGAGATATTCTCCCTATTTCGGTCTTTCTCTAGATTTTTAACGGGTTCTTCTGTTGAACATTGATGCTTTTGCGGCGTCAATCTGATTGTTGGATGTCAGTGCTTGTGTTTACTTCGTCTTCACTTGATCAATCGATATTTCGCATGAGTGTGCTATTGACAAGTCCTATCAATTTCATTGCATGAGATCCAATTTCTCCTGTTCTTTCCCACGATGTACGGTGTAAATTTGCAAAAAGGTAGGTTCGAACGAGTTGCCCGATAAGAGCCTTGACAAGAGTGAGCAATTCTAAAGTGACAAACAGCGATTTCCCGCCATGCGGCGCGAAATATTCTAGCAAAAGCTGGTACTCAAATCAGTCCGGGCATTCCGTTGCTTCCGCAGACATCAGCGCAGACAGAACGCTATCGACGAAACCACACCGACGCCAAAACGAAAGGGGCACCGCCGTTCAAGATTCCACCTAAATCAAAGGCATTGGCAAGAAAAGAACCTTCAAATGCCGTTGAATACGCCTTGTAAGCATCTCCTTAACGATTATTCTTTCTATCTTCTATTGTCCATGAACTGATGTGAGGGGGGCAGAACGACGCTCGATGCGATTGTCAACTGGGCCAGGCAAGGCTCCTTTTGGCCCCTGACCTTCGGTCTCGCGTGCTGCGGCGTCGAAATGATGCATGTTTCGATGCCGAGATATGATCAAGATCGATTGGGTATCATCTTTCGCGCGTCTCCCAGACAAGCTGATGTGATGATCGTGGCCGGCACTGTCACCAACAAAATGGCCCCTGCCGTCCGGCAATGCTACGACCAAATGCCGGAGCCGAGATGGGTTATCAGTATGGGCAGTTGCGCCAACGGTGGCGGGTACTATCATTACAGTTATTCGGTGGTCAGAGGGGTTGACCGCATCATCCCCGTGGACATTTTCGTTCCGGGCTGTCCGCCGACGCCCGAAGCGTTGATGTATGGCGTCTTCATGCTTCAGGCTAAGATGAGGAGAACGAAAATCACCAGGATGTGGTACAGAAAGTAGGGGTATAACTCTACTGTCCATCAAAGAAGCACATGGCAGATACGAAATGTCATGTTGATATCAAAAGAATGGACTACCAACCGCCACGAATCACGGGATGATATTCAACACTTTTTTGGTCTCTATGGTGAGATTATTTCTTGATAACGACATATCACCGTCTCTAAGCGAAGTACATACGTGCATTTTTGACCAGATAAACCACAAAGGCGTCTGCGTTTCGGGCAACCAATCGTTCAGCTCTTCGACCCTGCTTGAGACCATACTTGAAATCGAGCAGTTATGTCATCACAATGGTCATCATTTCCCGAAAAGGATGAGGACGACGACGAGGACGACGAGGACGACGGCGAGGACGACGACAAGGACGCCGACAAGGACGCCGACAAGGACGACGACAAGGACGACGACAAGGACGCCGACAAGGACGCCGACAAGGACGACGACAAGGACGACTAAATGAAAACAACGACAACAATAGAAGCGACGACGATGACGATGGTGGCAAAGTGATTAGAGTATAGCCATAGGAAAAGTAGCCGCTCTAGCACAGAAAAAATAGGCGTTCTCATCATCATATAACCCATTCGAGAAGTTCGGCCCATTTCGGGCCAGGCGAGATCTGGTGAGCATACGATTTCCAATGCCACCGGTTTGGCTTGAAGGAACATGCACGTTTTGGTATGCATGTTGTTTGCAAAAGTACTTGGCAGATGCTGCAGTTATATGCAAATACTCAGGCAGATTAGAGAATCATGCCTCAAACCTGTCAGCGAACAATGTCCACAGCCAGGGTGGTATTTGATCGGTTGCCGTTTTCAGCAGTGGCAGCTTACAATGTAAGTACGCGAGCATAGCATGAGCCTCAACTCAGCTACATCATACATGCTTCAATAGAAAACGAAGCTTGACGTCCAATCGACCGGAAGTATTTCTCGGGAAGAAACCTCATCAAATTTGGCCAAAGACGTATACACAAGTAACCTCGACCTCATTTCCACAAAGGACGCAAACAACTGCAGTGCTGCATCAAGTCAGACACCTTCACGTAAGCTGATGATATTACATGCCCTGGTCAACAGCCATCTGAAGTTTTTGTGTGGCCTTTGCATGCAAGAACGGGGTGGAGTGACCCGAATTGGCTCGTGCGACATGTGCCACTGGGGAGACCGCAGCAGTGTGTATCACTGATGAACGGAAGGATTCACGGATAAGCCCGCGTTCATAGCCTCGGAGGATGGGTGATGCTTCGAGGCTGTGCGTCGTCGTATTCAGCCGCATGAACACCTTCTAGAAGGAATACCGGAAGCTGGAGTTATCAGCTTCATTTTAAAGGTCCAGCCTTTTCCAAAGTCCCAAGAGATGCCAGCCATCAAGGGTTTCCAAAGGTACTGCGGGCTCAAGGCAGAGGGGTTGGATCTTCTTGATATGTGCTGTTCTAGTGTTCCAGGAAAGTGACAACACAAATGTGACTGACGAAAACAAAAACAGATATTATAACATGGACATGGGAGGGACGGGTATTGGCCGCAGATAAATTCACTGCTGAGTGGACCGCGATTTGAGCATTCTAGAACAGGTTTGTTTGCGACCCGCATCAGGATGTTTGTTTATTCCCAACTCAGGGAATGTTTCATGGAGATTCCATCCGGGATTCTAGTGGAACCCAGACGGGCGGTTCAACGGGGTCTCCCACGGGGATTAAACACACGGCGGATGAGCGGCCGGATGAGGAAGAAGAAACAACGGTAGAGAGCGGGCCGTTTGGGAAATCATGTGATGATAGTCGGAGGGTCAAAGCGACATAGCAACGGGGTTCCGAGACGTCGGACAGATTGGACGGACACCGAAGGCGGAAGGAGAGTGGCAGCGAGAAAGGCAATGTCTGACCACCGGGACCACGGCAGCGCGCACGCAGCAGAAGTTGACTGGCCGAGCGCGGAGCGGGGACGGATCGGCAACTGTTTTGGCGACAGAATTAAAAGAAGAACAACCAAGTGTTGACTTGCTGACTTGGATGCACCCCGGATTTTGGACTGGCGACGACGAAGATGGTTGCGTGCCGGCGCCGGGAGCCGTCCGTCGATGACGGAGTGATGAAGGGCGAATGGATCGATTAACTTCATTAGCTGGGAGGAAGGCCCCTACAGAGAGAGAATGGATAGGGCTTCCGGGCTAGGTTTAGCTGGAGTGCATGAAGTCTGGGGAAGAGTCTAGTTGAATTTGAGTGTCTGCATGAGGTCATGTTTTTGGGATGACAGGCGCGGTTTGCTGGATGCGATTGAGGGGAATCCAAGGTGAGGAAGGGACTGAGTCTGAGCTCAGCGTTGTATGGTTTGTGGGTGGTGGTGGTGGTGGTGTGAGAGGGGTGATGCATGTCGAATGACGTCGTCACGATGGGGGTAGCGAGGGAGGGAGGAGTAAGACGGATAATGTGAGGTTGGAGGCGGCAGCACTCAGGAAGCGACTTTGACGATGCAGCTCAGTCAATGGGAGCGGGCGGGCTCGAAATGCCGCGGCTGAAGCGTAGGTAAGTAAAATGGTCACTTCAAGCTGGCTCGGGCCTGGTGCGGATGGGATTCCGGAGGCGAGGGAAAGAGTCGGAAGAGGAGCGAGCCAGTGGCGCACTTGAGGTGAATTACAGCTTGCTTACCTTGTCGAACGCAGCAGGATGCAGATCTGGAAATAGGACAATTTTCGGGCGGTGCAATCACACACACAGCATTGCGCGGTGGACGAGGCAGCAGCGACCAAAAAAAAGCGCTCATCGCCTCGTTTCCAGCAGACGGCAGAGTCAGTTAGAGGTGCGCTTTTCTGATGCAGTGCGGCAATGCGGGCGATCGCGATGCAGTGGTCTCAGTCACCATGCAATAGGTAGGTAGCGACAGTAAAAGAAGGAACGGCCAACGGCTGAGGTCCTGCCCTGGACGTTGGACTCTGAAGGGAGGTCCTGCATGTTCCAGGGTCCACACCTGCCGGCCTCGTCCAATCCGGGCAGCGAACTGGTAACAAGAAGCAAGTAGCGGGTACTTTTGCCGGGCCGGGCTCCCTTTCGTCCAGCAGGTTCCACCAGTCGCCGTGTCCGAGAGTCTGGCGGCCAACGGGCGCTGGCAGTGGCAGCCCAAGCAGCCTGAGGCAAGCCCAACCCCGCCATGGGCACTCACGGTGCTGGCGGCCAATGTAGTCGAAACAGGCACCAAGATGCCCTCCCGTCAGTTCCATCCTGCTGCGCCTTGCTCGCCTCAGTTTATCTTGGGCGAGGCACGGTACCTTAACATAAGCTAGGGAGGTAGGTACCTAATAAGCTAGGTAGGTAGGTAAGCTACAGTACCTAAGCAGAGGCTAATGCTGCAGTGACACCCGACGTCAAGTTCTTAGGACGCTCCAACCGTGACTTTTGCAGTGAAGCCGCTCCAGCAGAGAGAGGCATCCCCAGCCTCCATCTCCACACCCTCACCCTCGATCGCGAAGCAGGGAGCCATCTTGTTGGATGAGGTTGAAAAAAAGCAGGAAGAAGACGACTTGTCGATGAGAGGCATCTGTAACGGACTTATTTGAGAGCATCCCTTCCCTCACGTGTCTTGTTAACTACACCTGCACCCGGCACCTGCTTCGTGCATCTTGTTCTCTTCTTATTCGAGAGTGTGATTGTATAAGACATCTCCAGCAGCAGCAATACCCCAAAAGCCTCACCTGCCACCCTCATCACCACCTCTGGGGCACCAGTGACCTCCATCACACCTCACCGTCTTTCGTCTCCTTTTCTATTCGTGCCGCATTCTCCAACTCTGAATCACCCATCCCCCTCTTCCGACACCCGCCCTTCGCCCCGACAACCTCGTCACATTCCTCCTCTGTCTTCTCGCCCTCGCCCTCGCCCTCGCCCTCTCTCACCATCATCCACCATCGCATTTCCCCTCTTGTTTCACAAACATCACGAGCCTCCATCTATCTTTCTCAGGTCTCTCTGTGAGGCATCCGTCTCTAGCAGTGCCAGTGTCAACCCCTGGTCCGGCGCACCCACCCTGCTGCACCACGCTGAGCGCACCACTGAGCGAACCGCACCACACCCGCACCATCCCTCCACAGGTACTGGTACTGGTACAGGTACCCATAACGCCCTCTGCAGGTCACGAACCACCCCGGCCTCGCCTGCACCACCCCCTTCTCCGTCCTGAGTCCTGTCCGTCGCCTTCAACTCCTCAAGACCCCCCCGGCAAACCGACCGACCACCTGCGTCACCAGATTTACGGAACCCCGCTATTTTTTACCTACTGCCTGCCCACATCTGTGACTACACAACTTCCCTGCTGGTAAACCAAAGCCAAAACACAACCTACACCACCACACCTCACGAGGTTCGCATCACGTCCGCAACTTCTCCCCTCTAGCAACAACACCAAACCATCAACCCTAAGCTCGTCCGGCCTAGTTCATCCACCCGCGAACTACTTCAAAATGGCAGCCGTCGTCGAACACAGCCCCCCGTCGCATTCCCCTCCGGGCCACAACGCGAAGCGACCCAAGGGTAAGTCCTCGCTCTCCCTCTGCCGACCGGCGCGAATCCCACCATACGCGATAGAGCTGCAAGACTGACTGAAATCGTTTGCAGGAATCCTCAAGAACTCATTTCAAAGATCTCCGCCCACCTCGCCCAGCGAAGAGCACCCTCTCACCGAGAAGGAGCTCACCATCGTCAACACCCAGTACAACGCCGGCCACCGTCGCTCATCTTCCGCCGCCCGCCCCTCCGGCTCCCGCCGCCAGTCCAGCCACACCCCTTCCGCCCACGGCGACGACGAGCAGGACTTGGAGTCCTCCCAGCGCCTCAAGTGGGACGAGGCGAACCTGTACCTCACCGAGCAGGAGCGCTCCTCGACCATGAAGATCGATGAGCCCAAGACCCCCTACGCTAAGCACTATGACCCCACCGAGGACCCCTCCGAAGACGAAGAGATGGAAGACCCGACCGTTGAGCGCAAGCCTCGCACGGCTCGTGCTGGCCCTGGCGTGGAAGATGATATCCCTGTCATGTCGCTTGGCGAGCCGGAAGAGGCGGTCCCGGAGAGCGAGTCGTCAAAAGAAAAGGCCCTCAAGGCCGTCCACGTCGAGGAAACCGACTCCTCTCACGGCGGCGACGAGGATGACCTGGCTGGTCTCTCCCCCGAGGAGAGGGAGAAGCACCATCGTTTCGAGCAGTTGCGCAAGAAGCACTACGAAATGAAGGATGTGGCCCACTTGTTGGGCCACCCCGAGGAACTACCCGAAGAGGAGGACGACGAAGACGCCGCCAACCCGCCTCCTGTCCCTGCTCTTCCACGACCCAGTCAGGCCACCAACGGCCAGGCCTGAGCCCCAACACCATCAACGACCATCGCGAATGAGTTTTGGCCGGCTGGCTCGGCGGTTCGTCCACCGTTTGGCTGCGCCCGCGTCAAGGAGAGAAGACATGTCACGGGAGACGTATTACGAGCATTTTAACGGATTGTTTACCTGTTTTGGGGTCGAGGTGGAGATCAGCATCCGGCAACGGCGTGGTGACACACGAAGGAGTTCTGGGTGGTTATCACGAATGGTTTTTGCGGCGTTCCGGGGCCTTCGTGTCTGTAATCGTCGCGATTCACCAGTATTGCAGCAGGCGCCCCTCCGTCCTGGTGGTCAGGTGGTTGCAACACCGCCACCAGGCAGGAGCGTATCAGCACGAGTAGGTAGGCTTTTTGCTTCCGCCAGCAAATGGCATATTCAATAGAGTCTCCATTGCCTAATAACTCCTGTCCCATTCGTGAAATAATAATTGTGACCTTCTGCTGGCCGCCCCGTGGGGACGTGTCCATTGGTATCCTGCGCCTGCGATGCTTGGTGTTCCCATCATTCTCTCTAGTCTAGCAATCATCATCTCTCAGAGCATGCCCTTACGCGCAAGCTCGACCTTCCTTGCCGCCTCGCCAGCAGCGAAGCCGCCCCTCGAAACGCAGATGCGGTTGCCCTCGGCGAGCTCGACTTTGTCTTGGTTCGCGGGCCAGGGGCAGGGGCAGTGGTGCGGGAAGTGGACGCAGGCGAGGGTGTCAGGGCATAGGTAGTGTTCGCAGTAGGCTGCAAGGCGTCAGCTTTTCAATCCTTATGATAACCAACCTCCTGGCAAGTACTCACATCCGTCATATCGTTGCTGGTATTGCGATGGGTCGCTGGGGACGTTCTGGGGCTGCTGTTGCTGCTGCTGGCCGCCGAACATTTGCTCAAAGAAGCCAAACTGGGCCTGCGTCGAGCTAATCAGGGAGAGCAAGACGATGGGGAGGGAGGCGAGGAGGCGCATCGTGGGTAATTGGTTTCAGAAGCAATTCGGCGATTGTAAACGTGTTTTGCAGTGATTTTAGGTGAGCGATTGTTTGTGCATTCGTTGTCTTTGTTCCTGCATCTGAATGCGCCCAGCTGTCCAAAAGACACATGCACCAAGAACACCCACCACCACCAACGGTCATCCTTATCGTTATCGCACCCCGCTGACTCAGCCGGAAAAATATCCTCAGGCGATCTCCCTGGGCAAACTCCCAAGGTCCGTCGAAATTCGCGATCGCCGAGCCAGCCAATCCATCCGACGACGAATGGGCAGCCCGTCCTCGAAACACACCTCATGCGTCTACTCCAAATGCAGCAGCCCTTGAGGGCCGCTGCCGCCGGTCTCCTCCGGCCGACGGTCCTCCCGACCCAGCAGCCCTCCGTCGTGGCAGCCGCGAATGCCCTCGTTGCGGGACGCCGATACGCCTCCGTCAAGTCGCAGGGTGCCTACAAGCTGCAGCCGAAGAGGACGATACCGAAGAAGCTGGGAGCGAAGCGGACGGGTGGTATGTGATCACACAATACACGGTCTCTCGGAGGAGGAGGGGGAGACTGCAATTGAGCCTTTTGGTTGGGTTTTGCTAACCTTTCCCCACACATCACAGACCAGTATGTCATCCCCGGCAACATCATCTACAAGCAGCGCGGCTCCCTCTGGTGGCCCGGCGAGAACTGCATCATGGGCCGCGACCACACGATCCACGCCATGGCCTCGGGCTACGTAAAGTACTACCGCGACCCGGCGCGGCACCCGGACCGCAAGTACATCGGCGTCGTCTTCAACAAGGACGACGTGCTGCCGTACCCGACGCACGCGGAGCGCAAGCGCAAGCTCAACATGGCGGCGCACCCGATCTCGAAGCCGGTCGAGACGCCCGCCGTGTCCGCCTCGGGCATCCCGACGCAGGTCGTGCGCGCGGCGCCGCGCACGACCAAGGGCGTGGCGACGCAGCCGCCGCGCGTGCTGAAGCTGCGCGACGACTACTCGTACCGCGAGGACAACTGGCGCATCGGGCGGCTGGTGAAGCTCAAGACGGGCGGGATGAGCCGCAAGGCGCGGTTCAGGCATAAGCGGTGGGCCAAGGAGAAGATGATGACCGGACAGAGGGCGGCGGCGGCCAAGTTTGCGGACATGGAGATTGACGAGTGGACCATTGCGGCGAGCAAGAGGCTTCAGGAGCAGAGGAACGCTGCCAGCAGGGCTAAGAACGTCAAGGCGAAGCAGAAGGCTGCTAAGAAGGCGGCCAAGGCCCAGAAGGCGAAGCGGTGATGTGGCAGGGCGGCTGCATCTGGTGAGGGGATGAGGGGGGTTGTGTAGTACGGCCTGAGATCTTGAGAGGTCTTGAGCGTAGATGTAGAATATCTTGTACAAATCATACGGACCATCCATGACACTGCGTTTGTGTGCTGTGTGTAGCGGAGCGGCTACCTTGATAACTCACCTCACTTCCCAAGACTGCCAACAATGGGCGAACAGACTGTCGCAAGATGGCCTAGAGGTGGATTGTATGCCTGGTTTCGGCAGAGGTCGATGGTTCGAGTTCTTGAGGTGGCCCTATATATCTCCGGTCGTAGTCCATTGTTTTTTCTTTCATCTTTTGAATTTCTTCTGAGGTTAGTGTTATTGAAGCGATACGTCTAGTGACAGTAACCCCCTAGGTATACTATAACTGAGTATGGGGCAAACAATTAAGTATTACAAAAGTCTTTTGGTAACACTGATAATTCACCTTTAGAATTAGAAGGAGTCTCTGCACCACGAGATTCACTCTTCCTTCCCTTTCATATGAGCTTGGAGATATTCCAAGTGGGGGTGGGTCTTGCCTTCCTTGTATCTCACTGCTGAATCCCCGCTGCAGGTACATGCCCTGGTCCCCGCCACTTTAGTCGCGTCCAGCGTCCCGGTCGCGTCTCCCACGAAACGTCAGTCTTCACTTCACTCCTACTATTCAACATCCAGAATCGCTCATTAAGATCGCCATCAACGGCCGGGAGGCGCCGATTTCGACGCAGATTTGACACGCTCACGATATTGAGGCCTCTGGGACTTTGAGGGCGCTTCGGCTTGTCGATAGAAACGTCGCCAGCTCCCACAGCAGGTACCCCGTGCAGCGCATGCTCGCTCAACGGGCATCGCATTCGCGACGACAAAGAAACCCGATGATGGCATCCAACCCCCCACGCATCACACCCATACCAATCCCTGTACCCGGCCATGCACCATCGCCTCAGTCGGCTCCCGCCACGTCGGCAACGAAGGTGCTGAATTCAACCGCCGCCAACCGCAATGCCTCACCATCGTCGGTTTCCAGCGCAGGAGAGGACCCCGCGAGGAAGATGAAGCGTACTAGTGCCAAGGTGAACGTCAAGCCCGGCGCATTCCTGCAGGCGCCTCCGTGGGCAGCTTCACTTCTGAGCTCCAAGCCCTCCACTTCAACTTCGACCGGACCATTAGTACCGCCAGTGCCCAACCTTGCCCCGCCAACTCAGGATCACAGCATGGTCCTGGACAGCCCGGAGCCCATTCGTATTGAGAGCGATATCCTGCCTCCAAATCCTGAAGGCCCCGTGAAGTCGGAATTCAGCCCCGAGGACACGCCATTGGAGGATGTAACACCTGCCAAGCCGTCGCTGTCGATGAGCTCCCAGATCCAGGCATTGCAGCAGTCGTGGCAGGCTAAGTCGACTTCAGCGGATTCTCAGGGATCGGAGGAGGTTATTAGACGGGTGTCAAGTGGTGGTGAGTGTGCCTTTGGATGATTCGAGGCTAAGCCTGGCATAGCTGAGGAGGCCAAAATCTGCTTGGATGAACCTCGGAGAGCACGATCTAACATGCACTGCAGATGTTCAGCCTTCAAGGCCGGCTCTTAATTGGACTCAGGCGTTACAAGCGAAGAGAAAACAGTCATCGGGTTTGCCGGGCGGTGACTCCAAACGCAGGCTGACCGAGAATGGCGTGGGATCTGGATCGGAGGATACCACGGCCCAACATGGGTCGAGTCGAAAGTCGATGCCAACATCAACGTCTGCTGAGCCAACGTCTAGTGCCAAACCGGGATTCATCCCCATCAAAAGGCAACCCCTATCTGTATCATCCTCGGACGACAATGGCATGCTTGACGATGATTCAACCGACTCCGACTCTGACTCTGAATCCGATGCTCCAGTCCAGCTTGACAGCGGAAACGCTGACCCTCCACCTCGCCCGTTCAAAATGTTACCAACGGTCAGTGAAACCAAGTCCTATCTCTTCAAACATATACTAATGGTGATTGCCTCGTTAGTTGTATGGGCGACCCGAAAATGAGCTTACAACTACCAACGATGGCGACCGGCTCTATTGCCAGTGGAAGGGGGAGAATACCCCGCTGGAAGCGTCATGCGGCGTGCTTTTGCCCACTGGATACACGCTGCACTCCGATCCCGAGTATCCCTTCATCTGCCCCGATCGCGTGTGTCGCTCCATCTTCAGGTCGATTCAGGGCCTCGGAAAGCACTTCGGGGTAAGTTGCGAGGTTGTATGCATAGGGCCACCGTGGCTGACAACATGATAGGCAAGGCACCGAAACACCATGTACAACGACAACTTAGATGGCACCGTTTCCGCTGTCAGCTTCTTTGACATTCCGGGAACAACACGAGCCTCACCAGTCATAGTTTCTAGAAACCCGCTTCAGGGTGACGAGCCGCCGATGCCAGAACCGCAGACCACAGTCTATAAGCCATATGGTTCAAAGGTTCAAGCGATGTCAACAGCAGCGGGGATGCCTCAATCTCAGCCTTTGTCACAACCTCTATCACAACCCCAACCACAAACGACAGCGACCAGGACAACACGCTCGCACGCTTCCCCTTACTCGACCCTACCAAACCACCACGAGCTGGCACAACCGTCATATTTCCAATCTGAAAAACCCATGACCTTATTGGAGTACCTCACCTCTCAACTGTCACCGACTTACAGACTCCCGGCTGAGAGACCGGACTTCAAGGCTCTATTGAAACTACCAATGGCAAGGCATTTCCCTCCCCAGTGGACGATGAAGCACTCGGGCGTTGGGAACTTGGCGCCCCTAACTGCACTTTCGCTCTTGGTGTTTTTGACTGGCGATCCTGCGCCTGTGTCATGCTCAACATGCAATGGGCCAGATCACGACGCGTTCGAAAACACTCTTCGCCCATGTATCGTCCTTTCCAGCAGAGCACCTTCGTGGCTGAAGGAGACCGTCAACGAAGCATGCGCATCCTGCCAGTGGCGGTGCAATTACAAAAGGCAAAAAGTGCAATGCGATTTTCTGCCAGCCTTTAGAGGGCGGACGTTGACTGCTTTACCATCCCCTGCACCTGCCGCAACTCCTACTTCTATTCCGCCTCCCGCCATCCCTCCCTCGTCTGCACCGCCATCCTACAGCCTGCCCCAAAACGCCAAATTTCCTTATGGAGGACCTGCGGGTGATAACCAATCCGGTGTGAATTCACCGGCTCTTCGTTCCCCAGCCATCACCACACCTCCCGTCGGTACAACGCCTGTGAATACGTCGAGACCAAGCAGCCCGCCGAGACGAGTTACGAGGCATTCTGCGGCCACAAAGACCGCTTCCGACTCTGCCCCTGCGTCGACCTCTTCTACCAAACCGGCTCCCGTCGCTATCGTCCCTCCCAATGCAGGTCAGACAATGCCAGCAGAGCTCTTGGACATGGAAGAGTGGGAAATCGCTCCTGGACGTGTTCGCGACGACCAGAGCCAGGAACCGACGAGTAAGTCGATGATTAGCCGTCACGCCATGCATCTTTCATTGACATACTCGCAGACGTGGCATTCTCGAATGCATATCTTACATCCAACCAAGCCGTCAGCGTCTCAGAAGATATTGCTTTTAACGTCATCGTTATTAAGCCTGGCGGCTCTCATCGTTGGACCGACGAGGAGGACAAGGTGCGCATATGCTCTGTCGCCGTGGGCAAAGTCAAGGTGAAGCTGGACATGACAGACCCTTTTCAGATTGGGCCGAATGGCATGTTCAAACTGAAGCTTGGCACGTCATGCTCCATCGAGAACAGGACATACATCGACGCCATCATCCACGTTACATCCGTGACGCTTTACTAGACCATCGGCAAATATCACAGGGCCAGAGAAATGTATTTATATGTAAACGACATTAGCGACTCATTTTAAGACACTTGCCGGGGGTATTCAGAGCCGGCGCAAACATATTAGACGTCATTCACCCACCAAAAGGGGGCATTTTCTATTTCAATCTTACACGGAGTCTCAACGTGCCTCATCCTCCGCACATGGCAGGGTCGGGCTGTTCTACACCTTCATCGCCACCTTCTCATCCGGGCCTTTCATGTCAACATTCTCGGGCATTGTTACAGCCTCGATAACCTGGGCATCGCCGTCTTCCTCAGGCCTCATATAGTCCCTGGGCTCCACCCACTTCTCCTCCATGATTGGCGGCGGCCAAATCTTGCACGTCACCCAGAAGGTGAAGCCCGACAGAGCAAGTCCAACCCAGTAAGCAAAGTAGTAGTATCTTGTGACGCCAATCGGCGCTGAAACACCCATGTTATTGAGGAAGCCGTAGAAATTAGGGATGATGCCGATGATGTAGGCAACGTAGGCGCGAATATTCCAGCCGTGAGTATAGTAATACGCTCCTGACTTCATCGAAGTGAAGGCGTCAGGAATGTGGATACGGCCGCGGCCGATGAGGTAGTAGTTCACAAGCAGCACGCCGGTGATGGCAGACAGGAAAGTCTGGTAGGACGAGAGGAAGGAGACAAACACCGACGCGGAGCCCTGCGTTTGTTAGCTTCTTAGGATTCGTTGAGACAGTCGGCACAAGACTTACCAGCAGAAACCAGGGGTTGATTGCAAACGAGATGACGGCGCAAACGAAGAAACCTCTCCTGACGGTGATGTACTTGGGGAACAATGCCGCGATATCGTTGCCGGCAGGCAGCGAGTTCTCGAAAATCGAGCTGAAGATGCAGCAGTACGCAAAGCATCCTGCAATGAAGAAGCAACCCGCGCGGTTCGCGGCGGTATACTCCGCCGTCTGCAGGTTATCCAGCAGCGTAACCGGATTCCACACCAGCTCCCCGAAAATCAGCTCGCTGCTCGCGCACACGAGGTTTCCCACGGCGGCGACGATCAAGTTGGCCACGGGGAACCCAAAGATGTTGCCCAGGATCACATCGTTCTTCTTCTGGGCGTACCGCTGGAAGTCTGCCGCGTTGGACGCGAAGGTCGCGCAGTTGGCCGCGCCGAGCATGAAGAACTGCACAATCAGCCACGCGCGGGTCGACCCGGTCGCGGTACCCCCGCGGCGGACGACAGGCCCGAGGCCGCCGGCCTTGGTCGCCGTCCACGCCAGCATCGCGACGGCGGAGACGACGAAGACGGCGAGCTTGGCGTAGACGAGGCCGCGCATCTTAGGAACGGGGATGACGAGGAAGGCGCAGGTGATGAGCCAGAAGATGACGAAGCCAATCATGCCCGCGGTGGTGAGCGCGCTGCCCTCGCCCATGGTGTTGGGTATGTCCGCGATGCCGGGGATGATGGCGTGCAGCATGACGTAGATGCACTGGCCGCCCTGGACGGCGTTGACGCCGTTCCAGACGATGGCCATGACGGCGCGGTTGAAGGTCGGCCACCAGGCGCCGTAGACGCCGAAGGCGGTGCGGCAGAAGACGGGGAAGCCGACGTGGTAGGTGGCGCCGGGGCGGCCGTTGAGGGTGATGATGACGGCGATGAGGCACTGGCCGCCGAAGGCGCAGCCGAGGGACTCCCACATGGAGAGGCCGAGGGCCTGGGCGGTCGAGGAGGCGTACCAGTTCGAGACGGTGGCGACGGCGGAGAACCAGAAGGTGAAGTAGGTCCATTGCGTCCAGGTGCGGTCGACGAGCTTGAGGGGCCGGATGTCGTCGTTGTTGAGGAGGGCGTCGCGGCCCTCGAGGGTGCCGGCGGCCGGGGGGACCCGGAGGCGGTTGAGCAGGCCCATCTTGGTCAACTCGTTTGTTGAAGTTCAGTCCGGTGTTCAGGGAGTTGATTAAAGTTGCCCGCCCAACCGCTGTACGAACAGCACGATGTTCGATGAACGTGGTGCAGGCATGATGGGAGGCAACATGTGTGCGAGCGACTTATACCAAATCATGGCGATTCAAATTCTAATCACATCAGAGTCTCTTCGTCAGCGGCAATGATAAACCCAAGATACTGGGTGCCGTCGACGCGGTGGGATGTGGGGGAGATAAGCTGCCCCTGCAAGGATTACACGCAGCGGCATGATCAGCGCGACTCGTAGGACGGCTTTCTCCGGGGCGCACGTGGTGTTCGCGATGGTTTCGAGAGGCGAACGGGGTGTAACTGATAGGTGCAAGCCGAATTATACTTATAAGAGCGTGATATCTCCAGCACGTGGTCTTTGAACCGCATAAAATCGTCCATTGCTTACAAGCAGAGGCTCGAGATGGGCCGCAGAACAAGCCCCGGGAAAGCACTCCTGACGCTCCGAAAACCGGGGTGAACCCCGTACCCCACACGGCCGTTGTCGGCCCAGACCTCCGACCGATAAGGGACCGACAAACCGCATCGCACGCCATTATCTACGCCAATCGTGCAATCTCCCGCAGCAGCTGCAGGTTAGGCGAGATCCGGTGAACTCCGCCGGAAATCGAAATAAAGCCTCATTGAGGCTTTACCACAATTGAGGCTCAAGCTGTTCGACGATCTGAGCCAGGGACCCTGTCGTCGGAGTTGAACGGCCTCATCCGTTCATCTGAAGCTATTTATCCGTGCGCCAGAACCTCGCAATCAGTCTTATCGCTACTGAAAGATGACGAGGCCGTAGAAGAAACAATCTCACCTGTACACATCCACAACTCATCACATAGTTTGCCTACACAGGCAGTTTAGACTCAACACCGCCAACATGTCGACCACGGTGACGGAAACGGCGCCGGAGAGCTACAAGCTTGAGCTCATGTCCGCCTACGGCCCCGTCTACCGCGACGTCCTCCGCACCCCGCCCCGGGACTGCTCCCCCTCCGAGGTCCCCGTCATCGACCTCTCCCACATCCGCGGCGCCGAGGCGGACCGCAAGGCCCTAGCTGCCACCATCCGCGACGCCGCCGAGAACACGGGCTTCTTCTACATCAAGAACCACGGCATCCCCAAGTCGACGATCGACGCAGCCTTCAAGCAGGCGCAGGCCTTCTTCTCGCAGCCCAACGAGAAAAAGGCCCTCGTCGCGCAGAAGAAGTCAAAGTTCTTCAACGGCTGGACGGAGAAGCGCGCCGCGCAGATCTCGCCGACCGAGACCAAGGACCACCGCGAGGGCTTCAGCTTCCGGTACGATCCGGCTCACGACCCGGAGCCCAAGGACCCGCAGGCCGTGCCGGAGGCGGTGCAGCCGTGGATGAAGCACGAGGACTTCGTGTGGGAGGGCACGAGCCACCTGCCCGGGTTCAAGGAGGACATGGTCACGTACTGGCGGGAGTGTCTGACGCTGGCGCGGAGCATGATCCGCATCTTTGCGCTGGCGCTGGACGTGCCGGAGAGCTACTTTGACGACGTCATCACGTACCCCGGCAGCGACAGCGTGTGCAACTACTACCCGAAGAACACGGAGCCGCAGGACGCGACGATCGACGTCGGGCTCGGGGCGCATACGGATCTGCAGTGCTTCACGCTGCTGTGGCAGGACAGCGTGGGCGGGCTGCAGGTGCTGACCAAGGACGGGCAGTGGATCAAGGTGCCGCCTGTGCCGGACACGTTTGTGATTAACATTGGCGACTTCCTGCAGAGGCTGTCGAACGACCGGTTCAAGTCGACTGTACACCGGGTGTTCAACTACGCGCCGACGGACCGGTACTCGATGCCGTTCTTTTTCGGGTTCAACCACAATGAGCAGTGCGCTGTGCTGCCTACGTGTGCGGATGAGAAGAACCCGCCCAAGTATGAGCCGATCAGCTGCGGAGAGGTGAGTTGAAGCGCTTCTTTATTTTTACATACTTACTGACGTTTACCAGTGGTGTCGTTTGAGATTTGAGAGGACCTTCGAGTTTTCGAGGAGGAAGAATCAACTCGAAGGCAAGACGGAAAACGTTGCACCGTATTGAGAGACACAGGGCAAATAGCGGTCGTTCTCAAAAGCTTGATTCATTATATCCAAAGCAGCGCTTGAAATAGAGTAAAACTATGAACTTCATTCATGGTCCAAGTACACAACTTCGGTCCACCACCCAAAAGTAGTCCTCACGTGCAATAGTAAAAGCCGTTGCAAGCCCGTTTACACTGGCTGAACTCCGAAATAATGCTGCAGTCCCCGCTTGAGTTACACTGCATCCCTCCCGGATGACATTTTGAGCTTGATGAGGTTGTGGTGTGCGCGGCCGCGGTGGTGGTGGTGGTAGTCCCGTCACTATTGCCGCTGCCGCTGCCGCTATTGCTCGTGGAGGCGCTGCTCCCAGACGGCGACGAATGTTGAGTAGAGACTCCAGCGGCAACACCGATGACAATGATAATGACGATAGCGAAGAACACAACGCCGAATATGATGGCCTTCTGGCGATTACGCCGGAACCAGGAGCCAATCGGAGGTTCCTCGGTCTCCCCGGGGCTTTCGTTCGCCGAAAGGTACGACTGCAGCTCGGTTACGCCAACAGTTTCAGTTTTGACAGGAAGACCATGATGTTGTTGCTGCTGTTGCTGTTGTACTGACGAAAAGACTTCTGGGCTGACTTGCTGAGGAGTTACTGGTTGAGGGGCTGCCATGTTTGTAGTGTAGATCTGGGCGCGGATACCAAAACCTGGGGAAATGAGTAGTGTGAGATTGCCGTGAGACAAAACTGCCAATGGAGCAGCTTTAAATGCCTTGGCAGGCCCAGGATCTTGGACCAGGCTGAATTTGGCTTTACGATGGTGGCGGGTCGCTCTTTGTTGCCAGCAGAATTCATCGCAGTCTAGCGTAACGCCTCCTACCAGCAGATCGACTTACAAGCCGGGAAGAACTCTGTTATTCATCGCCAAAATTGCGCTATGTTTTCAGCTGAACGCCTCAAGGTGCCCTACAGCCTTTCAGCTGAAAGAAAATATCGCCGTAACGGCCACAGGAGGCATCTTTTGGCTTTTTGACGATTATTGAACATGACCAGACGGGTGCAGCACTCGTTTCAGACGTTCAAACAGCCATGAATGTGAACAACTCTCGTGGTAAGATAAAGAATTAGAAACTACATCAGAAGAATGGAAAAAAGCGTTATGTGTTGGTTGGAAAGAAATCTGACAGATGGCCTCAAGAAGCTAGGCTCAAAGGAGGCGCTTGAAGTGCAGAGACCGTCTAGCCTTACAAGCCGACTTAGCCGGCCGAGAAGCAGAAGAAGTAGCATTGACTAAATGGGCAGCAGCAGACAAGAGACCAGAAGAAGTCGGTACGGCAGTGGGTGTCGGCGCCAAGCCAGCAGTTCCATTGACGCTCGGCGGCAGGGTTGGGAAAGCGGTGGAAGTGGATGATGCCGGAGGACTACTGCTGTTAAGCTTGCCAATACCAGCATTGGCCTTCACAAAATCCGGGACCTCGGAGACCTTCATTGGCTTCAGGAGAGACTCCGACGCATACTTGAGCTTGTCGATAGCAACGGTCTTGTTCAGGGGAAGCAGTTCGCCAGACTGGCCACCAACGCTGTTGGGCTCGCAAAGGCGTCCCATGGGATCCTGGCAGGCCGCGGCATCCGCGGAGGTCTCCACAACGAAGATCTCTCCGGCGCTGTTGTAGGTGTTGGGCTCGATGGGTCGGGAGACATTCTCGAAATGGTTGCCCTCGAGCAGGGCCTGGATATGGTCTCCGATGGCAAAGGCGTGGTCGTCGTCTCCCTCCCACAGATTGTTGACGCCCTGGAACATGACTTCCTCGGATCCTCCGACGTTTGGCGCGCGCCCAGAGACATGGTGAAGGTAGTTATAGGCGAAAGTGTAGTTCGCCTTCGAGGCGATGAGGAGGGCATTGTAGTAGTGTTGCTGGTTGCAGGAGAAGTCCGTCTTGCCGTCAAACTCGTGGTGGGAGATGGTGACAGCACCGGCAGGGCCCCATCCGGAGACGATGTGCTGGCGGCCAATCAAGGAAGTCTTGCAGTGATCGATCCAGATCTTGTCGGTGCCATCCATGGAGATGGCGTCGCCGCCCCAGATGTACTCGGGGTCTGCGAATGAGCTTCGTCAGCGCCATCAATCCTTTGGCACGGCAAAGCATAGGCGGGGCTACTTACTCAACTCCGTGATGTGGATGTTTTGGAAGATGACATTACTGACATCGTGGGACATGCGGAATCCCTTGCCTCGAATGACACCGCTTTCTCCAATACCGACAATGCTTTTGTTGCTGGCAACATAGATAGGTCGAGTCGGTGCGTTCCAGTAGGTGCAGGAGATCTTCTGCATGTCACCACAGTCGTCGCCAATGTACACCTGGCCATGACGGCTAGAGTCCTTGCATTGGTAGGATTTCTCGTCTCGACAGCATGTTCCGTCTGTGGATCCTTCGGTCTCGAGGAAGTCGAACAAACGATCAATCATGATGGTACGGGGCTGGCTGTCAGTGAGCCATTCGACAAGCCTTGAAATCGAGTCAATCTAGCGAAACGTCTCTGTCCTAAGCATTTACTTACTCCTCATTGCTCGATGGAACTTGAGGCTTTGCGTCGCCACCACCTGTGGTGCCGGCTGCAAAGCCAAATGCCTCTCCAGTGACTTGCGCAGCTACCTTGCCCGCAGCAGCCGCTGCAACAATAGAAAGAAAGAATGACTGCATGTTGGAATCAAAAGAGTGACAATGAATGAACGTGAGAATCCGCGAAGGACCAAAAGGAGTGGACTGAAGAATTGTACTGCCAAAAGAGCATTGATTCGAATTCCATTGCGTTTGAAATGTATTTAACACCGTGATCCTTCGACACGGAGGTTCCTGTAGGCTGGCCTGGGCCATCTGTACAATAAGATGAACGGATCGTATAGAGTGGGGTTACGTAGACCGATTTGGTGTAGATGTTCCGCGCTTTTCTGCTTAAGGTCAACACAGCAGGGCTCAAAGGCCTTAGTGAATCTCAGGTGGCCGTTTGTGGCCATCCGCTGCTCGAATGTCCGACAGCTAGTCAGCTAACACAGCAAACAATGATTACCGATATCCCTTGGTTTGCTTACACAGAATACGAAGTCTTCCCAATAGGTGTGTCTTGAGCCTTTCCCTAATAAAATGTCAAGCATCTATGGGTTGAAGAACGCCATGTTCCCTCCTTGTGGAGCCGGGCGGCTGTTCTCTTACCCGCTCACTACCTCTGTTCTCGATTTCGTTCTTCAAACGAGCCAGGAAAACACACTGCTCCCATTGTCTTTACCGTTGGTATAGTCATTCTCATTGCTTCTGTCGTCGTCTGTCATCCCTGGAGTCAACTCGCCCAGTGACCAACGACACCGAGAGCATTGTAGCCAGGAAAATGCTACTCAGCCAACCTTTTGAGGTACCGAGCTCTACAGAATCCTTTCAACATTTTTAACACACACAAGGGCCGAAGGTTTTTTAGAGATGAAATCCGACCACTTGCGGCACAGCCGTAGAAAATCATTCTCTTGCGAGATAAATCTGAGATTATGGCACATGTAAACATAAATTTTGTCAAAAGCATGCTTTGATTCAGACTTATATGTGAGTACGAGTGTATAAAATGAGTGTGGTAGAGGCTTCTTGGTTACAAGGACCAGAAGCCTTCAGAACAAATTGTTTCCAATCAAAATTTGCAACAATAAACATCGGATACATCCCATCTCCCAAACCAAGTTTCACTCAGATACCAGTCTGAGGGCACTTTCATGAACAGCGATTGGCAAATTAATTGCAGCAGGCCTTTAATGGCCATTGCCCTTGCACTTGCGCCACTGAACATAGTACTTCTGGGTAACCTTAAGATCGTTGGAATCGACCTTGAGTAGAGTTCAAGTAAGCTTTGAAGTAGGAAAGTAGCATGTCACAGACTTACAGTCATGAGGGAGGCTTTTGTACTGCTCAGAGGATTGAGCTCGATGGCAGTCTTGATGTTGAGCATGCCTTCGGTGCCACAGGGAGACCAGACGATTGACTCAAGACTGAACTTGTCGGTCTTGGTGTAGTCATCGTTGATCGGGCCCTTGAAGGACAAAGTTCGGTGGGCCTTATGAAAGGTAAGCATACGTTGTCTGCGATTGATGGTGAAAGAATTAATAGACTCACCGTCTTCTCATCTCCAGAGAAGTAGTAGGTCGCCTTGCAGTAACCCTCGACACCCTTGGCGAGGTTGACGTGGCCTCGCACCGTGGACTGGAAGATGGAGAATCTATACTGTGCATTAGTACGTGGAAGTATCCCTAGGGAAGCAATTTAGGTCTTGTGCAGAAAATCAGCGTGCTACTCACTGGTATCCTTGAGGATAGTGCATCTTGACATTGAGTTGACACGCCTTGCGGTGCTCGACAGGCTTGATATTGGGACCAGACTGGACGTTGTACTGGTCGAACATGAGGGTTACAATATCGCGGGTGTCACTGAAAGACTTGGCCACGCTCCCTGCAGGGCAACCAGAGCCACCGTAGTTCACGTCGACTAGCCTCACCTGGTCCAAGGGAGGAGTGTCACCTCCCATGGGGATTGCGGCAACGAGGCCCAGGGCAAAGGGAATGAGAGCGGCGACACGCATTTTGAGCTTCAGTGAAGTTGCTCTGTGAGAGAGTGCGTTGGTAGTGCGAATGAGAGTGTCTGGGGACGAGTAAGAGATTCAACTTGCCATGGTTGAGAAATCATCGTCCTTTTATAACGAGACCGCAACCCATAAAAAGGTCCAAGACGAAAGAGACTGACGCGCTTTCAGCTTTTGAGACACCCTAAATTGTCACCGACACTTGTTCTGGGCTTTGATCCAGCCCACGATAAACCTCATTCTCGCCAAGCTCGTATCTGGAGGTGCTTGCTAAGTGAACCAAAGGCAAATGTTAACTGAACCGGTCTCTCATCACCCCGGACTCGTAGAACGCTGACAGACCTTATGGGGAACAGCGGTGACTTCTTTCCCTAGCTACTGCATTAAGATTCGTCGGGTCTAAAGGCTGAAGAAGCTTGCATATAGCTGACGAAAAAAGGCTGTTTGAGCTGTGTTCAATAAGATCACTCATCGTATTTCTCCTGGTTTGTGCTTAACACACGAGCGTAGCTCACTTTGCCGTCCCACTACTCCTATAATTCGCTTTGAACTTCGCGGCTTCTCGCAGAAGCAAATCTCAACTCCTTGGTCAGACACCGAGAGAGTCATGTCGTCAGTCGCATATTGTATCCGTCATGTGACGAGCATGATGGACCGTGTATCGTGCAGCGCACTTGTATATGTTCAAGTAGTATCAATTAGTTCTTTTTGGAGAGGCGAACGCCGTATGTGTGAAATGTCGAACATAATGAGGCTAATGTGGTGTCTGGATGTCGACACCCGCGAGCTGAACGTTGTCTATAGCTGTCTAGTCACTAATATCCAACGGGGGAAGCACAGACGGGAATCGACCCTAGGAAACATGAGCCTAGACCTTTGCAAAGTGTCCTTACTTGGGCTGACATGTAAGCACTGCATGCAAGTACTCGGGCATTTTGAGGCTGAGTATGACGAGTGTCACTTCAAGTTAGTTGGCGACAAGCTGGAGAACAGGGAGTATGACAAGACATCCCCGAAGAGACTTAGCGGTCAGGATGTGCGCTGGCGAACGCTCCAAGCGAGACGTTTCACGACAGATTTGCGCGTTGATGAAACTATCCTAGCCATGCTAACGTTGGTTGGCCCGATTCAGCTCGTGGCCGTGAGGTGTAATTCGCTGCGTTGTTGGCCAGGCTAACATGTGTGTAGTGTTGAGTGGGTGTTCCACCACGCTTCGTGATACGGCTTGGCAAGTTGAGGACATCGATCAGGCAGTACAAAAATGAGCAACCGAATTCTCTTACGTTTCATTGTTCCGATCAAGCCTGCCTCATACGCTTAAGGGAGCAAGCAAGCTCTCCCGGTATGTTCAGCAAACTTGGGATTTGCGAGTGATTTGAAATTGGCGAAACAGCTTTGATCGAAGACTCAGCACGATTCCGCGGGCTTATCATTAATTGGCTCTCACTATCACAATTTCAGCTGATGAGCTGACTTAGAGTCAAAAGTAATGAAATACATATCTCTTCAGGTTTCTAATCGGATGAGGATACGACTGAATATTACTTAATGTTAAAGATTATAAAGAGAAAAAATGAAAATGAGTGAAACTCTTAAATAGACACCCAGAGCCGTATTTGACGGATTCATACTGCGGGTGTTGTCTGATGCGAGGGTGATCTTGGTAGTATGGAGCCGTGGGTAAGGTGACTTTATTAGACAGTGGATCGCCAACAACACAGTGAAATGTCACGAAATCTTTTCACACACTGTGCTTGCCAAAAAATTTGGTCACCGAGTCGCAGGAGACCTCTTCGAAAGCCAAACTCATGAGGCAATCACACACCAGAACTCTACCCGCGCAAACTCATTCAACTTACTGAGATCTCATCCAGACCTGAACCAATTTTATCTCATTGCGGTTAATCATTTAAACCGTAAACGCCATGGGTGACGAATTTCAGACCAAGTCGCAGGGTTTCCTGGCTTGGTTCAAGTCCCTGCCGGGTGCCACCTTCCACAACGACATCGAGATTGTCGATTTGCGTGGACAGAACGCTGGACGAGGAATCAGTTAGTCTAAGGACCGAAAAATTTCTGGCGAGTACCTACTAACAGTTTCATAGTCGCCACCAAGGACATACCGGCAGAGACAACGCTCTTCACAATTCCCAGGAGAAGCATCATCAACGTCGAGACATCTGAGCTCCCCAAGAAGATCCCCCAAGTTTTCACGGGAAATGATGGCGACGACGAGGACATGGAAAACGAGCCCTTGGACTCTTGGGGCTCTCTCATTCTAGTCATGATCTACGAGTTCCTTCAAGGTGCTGCGTCCCCTTGGAAGCCATACTTCGAGGTCCTCCCTGAGAAATTTCATACTCTCATGTTTTGGGAGTCATCCGACCTCGAGAACTTGAAAGGAAGCGCAGTGTTGTCTAAAATCGGCAAAGAGGAGGCCGACGAGATGTTACGCTCTCGCATCCTCTCAGTCATCGCGGCCAACCCAGCGATTTTCTATCCCGAGGGCTCTTCACCACTTGGAGAGGCAGAGCTATTGCAGCTGGCCCACCGCATGGGTAGCATAATCATGGCTTATGCCTTCGATCTGGACAATGAGGAAGAGCCTGAGCAAGAGGAGGACGACGAGTGGATCGAGGATCGTGACGGCAAGACCATGTTGGGCATGGTCCCCATGGCCGATATTTTGAACGCCGACGCCGAGTTCAACGTGAGTTTAGAAATGCTCTCTAACTCTTGAGCAACCACTGATAAACTTCAGGCACACGTAAACCACGGAGATGATGAGCTGACGGTAACCGCACTCCGTCCCATCCCCGCGGGAGAGGAGATTCTCAACTACTACGGCCC